ACTCGTGGGCCCTGGGAGCTGCCTGGACCCCGATAAAGGGAAGCAGTTTTTTTTTGCGATAGCACAGCGGTAGGGTATTTGCCTTGCAAGCCGCCAGGTTCGATTCCTCCGCCCCTCTCGGAGAGCCCGGCAAGCTACCGAGAGTATTTCACCCACACGGCAAAGCCTGGCAAGCTCCCCATGACGAAATCGTATTCGATATGCCAAACACAGTTACAACAAGTCTCACAATGGAGACGTTACTGGGCCCGCTTGAGCAAATCGATGAACAACGGGAGGACAGTGCTACTACTTTTGACTTTTTAGGTCACAGCCAGTGATGCTTAGGGGTTACTCCTGGCTCTGTACTCAGGAATTACTCCTGGCAGTGCTCAGGGGATACTATGGGATGCCGGAGATTGAACCCGGCCATGACCCTCCCCGCTATATTGGTCCAGCCCTGAAACTTCAGGTTCTGTTTGTTGGGCCACCCCTAGTGAAATTCAGGCTTACTACTGGCTCTGTGCTCAGGGATCACTCCTGGCAGGGCTCAAGGGAACCTTATGGGCTGCTCGGGATGAAACCAGGTCAGCCACAGGCAAGGCCAGCACCCTCCCTGCTGTTCTCTGGCCCAAAACCCTATGATTTTTCCCCCCCTTTGGTTGTTTTTGGTTGTTTTTTTTGGGGGGGGGGGGTGAACCCTGTGGTTCTCAGGCAATAAATCCTGGCTCTGCACACAGGAATCACTCCTGGCAGTGCTTGGGGGACCATATGGAATGCTGGGGAGCGAACGCGGCTCGACCATGTGCGAGGCAAACGCCCTCCCCACTGTCCTATCGCTCCGGCCCCCACACTGGGGGTTTTCTTTTCCCAAACTGGACAGCCCTGAAAGGGGCTCTTCAGAATTCTCGGCCGGGTTGGGTGAAGCGGCTGGGCTCTCCCCTGGCCACCTGCCTCGCCAGGGGCCTCCCGGGGGGCGGCCAGGGTGAGAAGTCCGCACACACAAGACAGAGGACGCCAGGCGGTCAGCGAGCCCACGTTTTAATATTGTTTCCAGGATGCACACGGTGGGCGGGAGGAGACGGAGACGCTGTCCGAGGCGGAGGTGAGCGCGATACAGAGGAGCATGCGGCGAGCTCGGCCTGGACAACCTCGCCAGGCGGGGGGCAGCGGTGGCCCCCGGGGAAGGGGCTGGGGTGCACAGGACATGGGGAGGGGGCGGGAGGGCAGAGACTAGCAGCTTCGAGCTCAGAAGTGGGGGCTCCCAGAGTCTGACAGCACGCGTGAGCTGCACCCACCCCCCAGTCTCGGGATGGAAGCCCATGGGGTAGCCCAGAAGATTCCGGAAAACCATGGCTGAGCCCAGAGTGGGGACTGAACAATCATGGTGACAACACAACAGGGCGGAAACGGAGTGTATGTGTTTATGCGCGCGTGCGTGTGTGTGTGAACGCGTGTTGTGTGTGCACGCGCACATGCGTGTGCGTGTGTGTGTATGTATGTGTGTGTGTGTATACTCGCGTGCATGCACAGAGGACCTTCAGACACAGCTTGGGAACCCTAGGTGGGGAACGGGGGTCTCGACCAGGAGCCTCTCCCTGTCAGCCCCGTCATCCTTGTGTCAGGGGGCGTCGGGGCGGCTTGGCTGCAGTGAAGAGCCCGAACTCCTGACTCGGTGGGTGGCCGGGCCCTGGGCCAGGTCTGAGAGCCCTGCCGGGGGGCAGCAGCAGGGAGGGCAAGGTCCCTGCGCACAGCAGCACCCCAGGAGATTCTCCAGCTGCAGACACAGTGGCGCCCACCAGAGCCCGCACAGGGTCTTCAGGAGCTGAGACCCCCCACCCCCGCGGTGTGCAGTCTTCTTTGGGAAGCCTGGGGCGGGGCGGGGCGGGGGGGGACAGCATCCACGCAGGCAGGCAGGCATGGGGACCCCTGCCCTGGGGGGTGGCTTGGGGGACCGAGGCTGACTTGGTCCTCAAGCAGAGGCCGTGGACACGGGCTGATGGACAGGGCTGGGCGGTGGGCCACGGGGGATGCCCGCTCCCTAAGCCCAGCCGGCAGGTTGCAGTGAAGCTTGTGGGGGCAAAATGGGGTGACCCAGCCGCTCAAACGTCCCCTGGGGCTGCCCTTTCACCTCTGAGCCACGCAGATGCCTGGGGAGGGCTAGGGAGAGCCCACCGGGGTGGGGCCGGGCCCTGGGCAGTCAGGGGGACGTGGGGGGCCTCCTTGCTGCCGGCTGCACCAGCAAGATGTGCTGTGGCAGGCACAGACTGGGGCAGCAGGGCCGGGCCTGGGGGTCTGGGTCAGAGCCCCCCCGGGTGACCTGTTCCGAACACAGGGCAACCCCTCACCTCCTTCTAAAGCTGGAGCAGGAGGCTGCCCAGGGTGGGTCTCACCTCGGAGGCCTGTCCGTCTGTCCATCAGGCTGTGGCGCCCTCATCTCTGGAAGGGTTGGCCTGGCCCGGTGCCACATTCCCACCCTGGCCACATTCCTCAGCCTCGGGCGAGAACACAGAGCTCTCCTGGCTCCGCAGGTCCAGCTGCGTTCATCCCTGCAGGCCTTATCAGTGCGTCAGGCCCCGGTGATTGTTCTCCACCCATACCTGCTTCTCTAAGCACAGCTCGAACCACTCAACTTCCTGGTGGAGAAAAATGCGGATGCCCACCCTCCTCCGTGACGAGTACCCCCTTCACCTGTGCCCGGTCCCTCTCCCACTTTGTCCATCTCCCCACGACCGCAGAGCTCTCCCAGGCTGGGCTGCTGGCAGTTCGCACTGCCTGGTGCCTGGACCTGCTTCTTCGTGGCAGCCTGTCTTAGACCTGCTGTGTGTGTGTGTGTGTGTGTGTGTGTGTGTGTGTGTGTGTAGGGGTCCCCCTGACCCTTTCTCAAGCCCCGCGTATGTGGAGATGGTCACCATGGCATGCTCAGAAACTTCCAGAAGACAGGAGGGTGCCTTCTGCGTCCTGCAGAGCGAGAGAAGCCCCCAAAGCGGCCAGCGGACCAGGCCCGTAACCGGGGCCTTTTGGGGGTCCTCCTGGTGGTTCGGGCGCAGACGGGCCGGCAGGGCTGCTGGGATGGGGCCTGTCTGCGCCCACAGGGTGGTGGCTGACCGTGAACCCATTCTCCAGGCTCAGGCGGCAGCACCCCTGGGAGCCCTCACCCCCTCACCCAAACAGGGGCTGCTGTTGTTTCCTCTGAAACCCAAGGTGGGGTCAACATTCCAGAGCCTTCTGGGAGGAGTGTACTCCTGCCAGCCGGGCCCCCTTTGGTCAGATGGAGGGGCGCTTCCGCTGGCTCCTTGCGGGGGGTTGTCAGGAAGAGAGGGGGACCCTCCTCAGGGCCCACAGCCCCGTGCCCTCACCTCCTGGGCCTGGACTCAAGATGACCACCAGAGGGCAGCAGCTACCTGCGCAGGATCTGACGGACCCGAAAGTCTGGAGCCGCTTTGGCGGGGATGAGGAACTCCAGGGCTGGCCACTGTCCCATCTCCGAGAGCCCAGACTTACAAAGCAGCTGCGTGAGGGGCTGGGGAATCCTGGGAGCATTGCTGCTTTGGACTCCCCCCTAGAGGACGACCCTTGCCCCTTCCTGGTTGCTTAATGGGTGGGTGTTCCTGGAAAGCCTTCCTGCTTGGCCCGCAGCGGGGCGGGCGCTGGCCCTCAGCTTCTCTTCACTGGAAGCGTCCCTGGGTTGCCGCTGACCTCTGGGGAGGGGGCCGGGGGCCTTCTCCAAGGGCACCAAGGGTTGGAGAGTGCGTGGCCGGGGAAGGCTGCGGAGAGCAGGTGGGCATGCAGACTGGCAGGGGGCCGGGCCAGGGAGCTCATAGCTGGCGCACAGCCGTGGGGGCACAGGGCGTGGGCAGGCACCACCCGGAGGGTGCAGGAGGTGAGCTGGAGTCTGACCTTTGCCCTGGGGGGTCTCTCTAGGTAGCCCCCATGTGGCCTTCCCGAGGCGTCTTTCTCTTTGGCCGGTCCCGAACGGGGCTTCGAGAAAGGGAGGTCGACTGTGGGGTGTCCCGGGGAACCCCGCCTTCGAGTAGGACCCAACGAGCGGGGCCCGTGGGGGGTGGTGGCAGGAGGTGGGGGACTGGACGTGGCCCTCGGGGTGTGGCGCTTAAGAGAGCAAGGGGACACTCCCAGGCCCTGCAACGGGTGCGCCGAGCTCTGCCGAGCCCGGGATGACTTAGATGTCACAATTGTTTGATCAGGTTGAGAATGGGGCTCTGTGGGGTTCCCCTTAGAATTCCCGGACCCATGAGCTTCCATCAGGACCCCTTGCCCCCGTGGGAGATGGCCCCTCTGGAGGGGGTGTGGGAGGGTAGGACAGAGTCACAGGGACCGGATACGATCTCCAGACTCCAGGACGGAAACGCTCAGCCCATCAGGACTCTCCAGAGTAGGGACGAAACCACGAGGGGACACTGACAAGGCACGGTCCAGAGTCGCACAGTGACAAAGCAGGGAAGGTCCTTGGGGCGAGGCCGCCGCAGGCAGAGGCTCTCTTGGTCCATCCCAGGGGGACACCGGTCCAGGGCTTGGCTTGCTGTCACCTTCCCTCCTTTCACTAGTGGTCACGCTCAGCCAGGGGGCTGACCCTCTGTGGCCTGGACAGCCAGGGAGTGTCCAAGCACCACGGGGAAACGGCACAGACCCTGACGAGGTGGGGGGCACACAGACCGGTGGGGGACACGCGGCTCGGTGCCCAGGGATGGATGGGACCGGAGGCGTGTGCAGGCACACGTGTGCCCTGCATGGCACAGCATGGCGTGGGCAGACGAAGGAGAGAGCCTCGGCGGGGCGGCTGGACACGGGGGCCTGCAGGGAGCCCGGACCAGGCGGCCCCGAGCTGTCCGCGTGACGTGTCTGGCTGGTGGGAAGCGAGGGACGTGGCCAGCGGTCGCGGCGTGAGCAGAGGGTGGCGGCGCTGCAGCGGGAACCCCAGGAGGAGCTGGGTGGGGTCGAGCGGGGAGGACGGCAACCAGGGCACAGCGACGAGGGAGCAGAGGCAGAGCAGGGTCCCCGGGGGGCCCGAGGAAAGGTCCAGTAGCGTCCGCACTTACAAAACCCACATGGTCCTCTCGGCGTGGGGCCTCCTCCCAGCTCAGCCGCGGGAGGGTCCAGTTAGGAACTGAACACCCTGCAGAGCAAAGGCCGAGTTAGAGCCGGGGCCGGGGGCAAGGTCGCGTGGCACCAGGGACCCCCCCTCCCAAAAGAAAGTCGCCTGAGAGGGGCTTGTCGCTAGTGGACAGACATGTGCTGGCCGGCAGCAGGGCGTTAAGGAGAGCGGGAGGACCCAGGCACTGGGCCCAGGGCAAGGCCTCCATCATCTGTCATAGAACCACCTGCCTCGGGACACACCGAGTGGTGCTCAGGGCTGACTCGTGGCTTTGTGCTCAGGGATCGCTCCTGGTGGTCCTTGGGGGACCCTGTGCAGTGCTGGGGCTTGACACAGGAGGGGCCACACTCAACCTCAGCGCCTGAACTCTTCCATTATCTCCCCAGCCCGGGAACTGCAGCCTTTAAAGGCAGCACCTGCTGGGTGAGGCTGTGTGGGGCGGGCCGGGGTGGGGTCACATCTCCGGCTGGAGCGGAGAGTGCAGAGTACGCTCTCTGCAGCTGGGCCCTGAACAGGCATGCTTGGCTTTGGGGGTGGTGGACAGGACTGTTTGTGGCGGGGAAGGGGGCAGGGGAGGGCGGGGCGGGCGGGCCATGTGACCACTCAGGCCGGCGTGTCCTGGGAGTGAGGAAAGTTCCGCCCTGATGCAGTCTCAGCCTTGGTGGTGCCCGCGGGCTTCTGAGCCCTGCCTGACAGTGAGTGAAACGGACCCGATAGTTCAATGGGAATTTGTGTCCGGGAGAAAATTTCCAGCAAGGTGGGCATGGGGTAGGAGGTCAGCCCTAGGCAGAGGTGGGGGGTGGAGCTTCAGCTTCAGGCACCCCAGGAAGAAGCCGTGGCCCACAGCTGGGGCTCTCGGGGAAGGGGGCACCCCACAGGGTCACCTGAAAGCCACAGTGCCCAGAATCTCAGCCCTGGCGCACTCGGCAGGTCTACGGCGTGGCTGGAAATGTGCATTTTCAACGGGTCCTGCAGAAGCGGATGCTGTGGGTTGGGGACCCCAGGGTGAGGGGGACCCAGGGTCGTGGAGGTGGGTGTCCCTGACTATGGGTGAGGGCCCTGCGGGTGGTGGGGGGCAGCTTACTCGTCAGTGTCCTTTTTGCTTTCCTCAATGAAGGCAATGGATTCAGATCTAAGGCGGTTGGTCACTTCGTACGTTCGCAGGGTGACCCCAAAAATATCCTCGTGGTATCGGTTGTCATCCTAAGTGGGGGAACAGTCCATAGTCACAACTTGGGGGCAGACAGCACGCCCCCACCCCCGCCGCCGGGATGGAGGACCCCTAAAGAAGACGGTTTGAGAGAGGCTCGGCCAGGTGAGAGAGGCTCGGCCCTGGCCGCCCCGCACACACTGGTCCCCCAGGCCCCGTGCTGGACCCTCTGGACACTTCTGCTTCAGTCCAGAAACTGGCTGTGGCCCCAGGACCCTTGCTCCTGCAGTCCCCCACCCGGCCAGGCCCATTGCCAACCCAGATGGACGCCGTGGCGGGCGTGGGCTGGGGAATGAGTGTGCACACTGGCGGGAGGGGGCTTAGGAGCTCATCGGAAGGGGGCGCTGCGGCTCTGCTGTCCAGGGTCCCTGCGGGCCCCTGGCACTGGTGGGCAGAGCGAGAGGTGGGCGTCCAGACTTCACCCACGGGGTGGTTTTGAGGGGAAGGGGAAGGTGTCTCGGTGGGGGGGGCAGCAGGGGGCACATGGGCACAAGTGGGGAGGCGGAGGCACAGAGGGGCCTAAGCCGAGTCAGCGGGTCTGAACGAGGCCACTGTCTGCCCATCTGTCTGCTTGTCCGTCTGTTCATCTGTCTGCCCGTCTGCCCATTCATTTGTCCATCTGTCCATCCGTTTGTCCATCTGTCCATCCGTTTGTCCATCTGTCTGCTCATTCGCCCATTCGTTTGTCCATCTGTCCATCTGTTTGTCCATCCGTCTGCCTGCCCTTTCGCTGCTGGTCCGTCTGTCCATGCAGGGGTGCGCGCCTTGCTCTGCACAGTTCTGTCTCTGGGGCGACACCCCACGTGCCCCCGGTGTAACCCCGCGGTGCCCCCAGCCAGAGCCTGGCGCCTGTGACACCCAACAGCCGCTCCTGAGGGAAGCGCGGTTCCACGGGTCCCTCCCAGAGCCCGGTGGCGGCCAGCGACACCAACTTGCCCATCTGGGGCACTTGGTCCACCTGGGAGGCGGGGCTGCTGTGGGGCTGCCCTCCCCAGCCCGCATATTCCAGGGACGACCTGGAGGGCCACGGGCTGGTCCCATCTCCCGGGATGGAACTTGCTCAGTGCCCAACTGGCGCCACTGGCCAGGGCAGCGCTTCTGGGGCAGGGCGAGGAGAGGGCGGTCCATTGTGCCCCCCTCCCCGAGGTTTGTCCACGTGTCCACTTCCAGCCACCGTCCCTCCCACGTGCCCGCCCGCCTCTGTGGGGAGGGACCCCACGTGTCCCCGCCCCCGTCCCGCACTCACCCGCAGGCGGCTGACAAACACGCCGGCGTCCTCGGCCGAGAGCCGGCCCTGCTGGGCCAGGATGCGCTGCACGGCCTTGAGCACGTCCGCCGCCATGGTGACGTCCCCGCACACGTAGATGTGGCCCCCCTGCTCCTTGAGCGCGCGGTACACGGGCTCGGCCAGCTGCTCCTGCAGGATGTCCTGCACGTATTTCTGGGGGGCGCGGGCAGGGTGAGGGGGGCCCAGCAGCCCCGGCGAGGCCCCACCCCTGCGCCGAGAGCGGGTGTGCATGGTGTGCGCCCTGCTGCTAAGTGTGTACGCGTGTGTGTGTGTGCACGCGTGTGGGTACCTGCCAGTGTGTTTGTCTGTGTGTAGGCGAGTACCTGTCTGTAAACACGTGTGGTGTGTGGGAGTCTGCTCATAAGTATGTGTGTCTGTGTGTATTTGCGTCTTTGTGTGTATTTGGCTGTGTGTCTCTGTGTATATATGTGTATCTGCATGTGTATATATGTATTCGTGTGTCTGTGTCTAAGTGTGCATCTGTGTGAGTATGTTGTGTGTGTGTGCGTAGAGTCCCTGCCTGTGTGTGTCTACCTGCTAAGTGTGTACGCGTGTGTGTGCGTGTGTGTGGGTACCTGCCAGTGTGTTTGTCTGTGTGTGAATGTGTGTCTGTGTGTGTCTGTGTGTATGTGTGGGTTCCTGCTCATGTATGTGTGTTTGAGTGTGTGTGTGCATGTGTCCCTGCCCATGAGTGTGTGTCCCTGCCTGTGAGTGTGTATGTGTGTGGACACATGTCCCTGCCCATGAGTGTATGTGTGTGTCCCTGCCCATGATGTCTGTGTGTGTATGTCCTTACCTGTGATTTGTGTGTGTGTCCCTGACCGTTGTGTGTGTATGTCCCTGCCCATGAGTGTGTATGTGTGTGTGTGTCCCTGCCCGTGTGTGTGTGTCCTTGCCCATGAGTGTGTGTATGTGTGTGTCCCTGCCCGCGCCTGTGTGTGTGTTCCTGCCCATGAGTGTATGTGTCCCTGTCTGTGTGTGTGTGTCCCTGCCCGTGTGTGTGTCTTTGCCCGTGTGTGTATGTCCCTGCCCATGTTTGCGTGAGTGTGTGCACGTGTGGGCACGTGTGCAGTACCTTGGGCCTGTCGGGCTCCCGGGAGTAGGCGGTGTACAGCTCTCGGAAGACGCCCTTGCCCTTGGCCTGCAGGGCCTCCTCCTTGTAGATGTGGTCCATCTCGGACTGCCGGCACCCGAAGACCAGGACCATGGGGCAGGGGCTCAGGCCTGGACGGGGGGGTGGGGGGCCGGGTCAGCGGGGTCTCGGGCTGCCTGGGCCCGCCTGTAGTGGGGAAGGGGCGTGGGACCGAGCACCGCATACCGCATACCTTTGTGCTGGATGTCAAACTGTCGCTGCTGCCAGAAACTCCGGAATGGGGCGACGCCGGTGCCGGGGCCCACCAGGATGCAGGGCGCGTGGGGGTTCCGGGGCAGGCGGAAGCTGGGCGCCCTGTGAGGGGAGGGAGGCGGGGGCTCAGACACATGGACACACAGACAGACACACGGACATGGACACGGACACACACAGACACACACAGACATAGAACACAGACAACAAAAACACAAACACAGACACACGGACAGACACAGACACACAAACCCACGGACACACACAGACACACAGACACACAAACATGGACACAGACACACAAACATAGGCACACACACAGACACAGATGCAGAGACACAGACAGAGATGCACAGACACAGACACACACAGACACACACAGACATAGAACACAGACAACAAAAACACAGACACAGAGACACGGACAGACACAGACACACAGACACATGGACACACACAGACACACAGACACACAGACGTACAAACATGTACACAGACACACAAACATAGACACACAGACACACACACAGATGCAGAGACACAGACACAGACACAGAAACAGACACAGACACACAGACAAAGACACACACAGACACACAGACACAGACATGTGAGGAGCAGGGAGACGGGCTCAGGCCCTGCGTGAGGAGAGTGGCTGGGTCTGCAGGGGGCGGCAGTGCCCAGGGACGGGAGCGGGGCGCTCAGGTCCAGCTGCGCCCCTTCTCACCTACCTCCCACCGAGCTTGGCCATTGCAGGCTGCAGGCTGGTGTTGGGGTCCCCCCTCAGCACTACTGGCCTAGGGGCTGCTTCGGGGAGACCTATGCCCCCCCACGCCAGGACACTCCAGCTCTGACAACCATAAGTTCCCCCCAAGGGGATCAGACTGGCCCCCTGGATGAGAACCACCCCTGGAAGTGCCCCTCAGCTCTCTGCCAAATGGGGCCCCGGGCTCAGGGTGGGTGTAAGAAGGGTCCTTGGGGGCCCATCAGCCTGGGCGCGGGTCTCTGTGTCTGCAGCACGCCGGCAGAGGGGCACCCGAACAGGTGCCATGGCAAAGACGGGGTTTCTGAGGCGACGCTTCAGCCCAGAAGGGAGCGTGGGACCGAGCAAGTCTGGGGGTCCTGCCAGGGCTCGGGGCATCCTGGCCTCTCTGAGGAGGGGTGGATGGTAGCAAGAAGACAGAACCTGGGATCCACCTTTTTGTTGGTTTGTGTTTTGGGTCCCACCAGTGATGCTCCGGGTCACCCCTGGCTCTGCACTCAGAAATCACTCCTGGCGGTGCTCGGGGGACCGAATGGGATGCCGGGGATGGAACCTGCATCGGCTGCGTGCAAGGCAACCACTCCATCACTCCAGCTCTAATCCACCTTCTTCTTCTTGCGTATTTTGGGGCCATACCTGGTGCTCCTGGGTGGCTGCTCGGAGCTCAGGGGACCATGTGGCACTGGAGGGCGGAACCCGGGACCCCTCCGTCCCCACGCCGAGCCTGTGCTCCTCTCTCAGAGCACCTCCCTGCCTGAACCAGCCGGGTCCAGCAGGCGCCACACCCAGCAGCTGTCGGGCTACTCCCAGTTCTGTGCTCTGGCGTCATTCCCGGGCTGCTCAGGGGCCACGTTCTCATGCAGAGAGATCCGTATGGTCTCTCTGGCCCTTTGACATCTCCCTTTTGGGATGCCCCGGAGGCCTGAGGGGGCCCTGGTGATTCCCAGCCAACCAGGCTGGCAGCTCAATGCGAGGGCTGAGGCGGCTTGGGCCCTGCAGTATTGGGGGGGGGGGCTGAGCCACCCTGATGTCTGCGCCAGGTCTGCGCCAGACAGGCTCAGGGCTTGGCTGTGGCAAGGCTGTGTCTGTCCCGCCCCCGCCCCCTCATGCCCTCTCTCTGCCCCTCCCACAGGCTGGGAGGAAAAGCAGGGATGGATGAGGAAGGCCGGAGCCCCTCCCCCTCCCTCAGAAACTGGGGACATTTGGCATGTCCAGGGCCGGCCAACTTGGGATGCAATTTCCAGTGTCCTTGGCTCCCTGCGGCCACCCTAGCCCTCCTTGACCCTGTGCCCTCGACCTGTGACCTGCTGCCGAAGCCTCTGCCCCACACCCCATTTCCCCAGAGCCAGTGGGGACCCGGCCCCCCTCTCGGGCCCACTCACCCGCGCACGAAGCAGGGCACGCTCTCGCCAGGTGGGATGCGATTGAGCCAGGAGGAGCACACGCCATGGTGGACGGGGCCTTGTCCATCTGTGGAGGCAGGGAGGTGGTCCGGCTTGCCTGTGGCCCCCATGGTCCCCCGCTAGGGTTAGAGCATCTGCAGGGCCCCATGGCTGGGACTGGAAAGGGGAGAGGTGGAGGCCACGACGCTGCCCAGGCCTCTGCTCTGTGTGTGCGTGCGCGTGTGTGTACGTGTGTGTGCATGCGCAGTGTGTGCGTGTGTGCATGTGTGCGTACACGTGTGCATGTGTATTCGTGTGTGCGCCCGTGTGTGCATGAATGTATGCGTGTGTGTGTGTGTGTGTGTGTGTACGTGTGCATGTGTGTGTGTGAAGGGTTGGGGGGATCAGGTTCCCGGGCACCGAGGGGCCCGCAGTCAGGGGTGCCTCCCACCTCCTCGAGGTCACAGGCCCCTCTCTCGGGTGTGGTGTGAGGAGGGACACACGGAGGCGAGGAGGGTTCGTCTGCTGGTCCTGCAGATGCACCCCAGCCAGGAGGCGCCTGGTGCGAGCTGCTGGCTTGTGAGGGGGCTGGGCCCCCCGGGAGTCCCCCACCCCCAGGGCTCAGGCAGGCAGCCGAGGGTGGAGAGGGCGGGGCGGGGCCGGGGCTGCCCACCTCGGGTGCGGTAGGAGAGCACGGCCACGGTGAGGTGCACCTCGTCGGGGTACATGTCCGGGGACGAGCTGATGGAGTAGTAGCGCGGCTGCAGCAGGGACAGCTGTGTGAGCAGCAGCGTGGCGGGCATCTGCACGGACGGGAACTCCTCCAGCGCCTCCACCACCGTGGGGTTCTTGCCCCACTTCCACTCCTCGTACTCCTGCAGGCCCTGTGCGTGGGGCGGGGCGAGAGTCGGGGCTGGGACAGGGCGGCGGGTCCGATCATTACCCCCGCACCCTCCTGCCCCGCAGCAACGGTGCTGGACCTGGTGGGCTCCAGGGAGCCTGGAGAGCTGAGGTTTCAGCTCAAACCCCCGACACTTGGGGGCCGGCGTGATAGCACAGCGGGTAAGGGGTTTGCCTTGCATGCGGCCGAACCACGTTCGATCCCCAGCATCCCATAAGGTCCCCTGAGCACCACCAGGAGTGATCCCTGAGTGCAGAGCCAGGAGGAACCCCGGACCAAACGAACAACCCCCCCCAAACAAAACAAAACCCACACCCGGCTCCCACCTGCTGGGGTGGCTCCTGAACGCTGAAGTGTGCCCACGTATGAGCGGCCACGCGTGTGTGTGTGCATGTGTGTCTGTGTGTGGGACTGGGAGAGTTCTTCGCCCTCCAGGGAAGTGTGGGGGAACCAGGCTCGCAGAGGGTGGGGAGAAGGGGCCGGGCTGCCCACCAGGGTCCAACCAGCCTACGGCCTGGCTCAAGGCCGCCACCTGCTGGCTGGCAAGTGCAATGACATCGCCGGGGAGGGGGAGGGGGCCGGCGGTGGACACAGACCAGGACCCACCTTGCTGAGGACCAGCAGCCGCTGCTTCTCGCTCTCACTGGTGGCCAGGGAGGCGAACTGCTGTAGCTGCAGTGGCGTGGGTGGCGTGGTGATGTCCAGGTAGTACTTGAAGGCCTGGAAGATGGTGCAGGGTGGGAGGCGGGCCTCGTCCGTCCAGTTGCTGATGACTCCTGTGCGGGGAGATACAAGGACGGGGACCGGGTGGGTGGGGGAAGGGAAGGGGTCGGAGAGCCAGGCCTTCAAGTCAGAGAGATGCACCCTAGCCCGACTTGGGGCGCAGTGGGGGCGCTGGACCATGCCTCTAAAACCAGCTGGCAAAATTGCCCCAAACCGACAGAGCAAATGAAAGCCCAAATGGATGTCCACGGTGTGACCTGAGAGGTCCAGGGGGAGAAACACACCCACCACTAGCATTTCCTCCCAGGCCCGGGGCTGGACATTTGACATTATTTATAAACATTGTCTGGTTTTATTTGTATTGGTGTAGTCACCGTGAGGTTACAAAGTTACCCATGATTGGGTTTTAGGTGGACATTGTTTCAACACTTTTAAGTTATTAAGTAGCCAATCCTCACCCCAGTCCCAGGTGGGGGTTGCCATCCTGATGCCCTGCTCCCAGATGGTAGGCAACTGGCCCCAGGTCACACAGCTCTGAAGTGGGAAGCCAGGGCGCCCTGCCCAATCCTGCTCCTTAGGGCCGCAGCCCAGACTCAGTGCCCCACCACCCCCATCCATCCCCTATAGCGCTTCTACTTCATGTGGGGGTGGGGGCTCACAGCTGCTCTCTGAAGAGGGGCCTTTAAGAAAGCGAGTAAGCCTGTCTCCCTCGGGTGGACGCTTACAGAGAGTCTCTACAGGCCCATCCGACTGGACTCCAGGCCCATGCCCTGCCTGGCCTTTATGCTCCAGCTGCCGGGTGCAAGTGGCATGTGGCTGTCCCACTGGGGCCATAGAAGGCCACTACTGGCCCTGGGGGCTCACCTGTTTGCCTGCAAAGTACTCCGGCTGCCTGGAGGTGACCAGTGGGAACTGTGGCCCAGTCACGGGGCCCTGGGAAGTGCTGGGCAGGGGGGCTTCACCTGTTTGCCCAGTGCTCCGGTCTGCTTGCCCTGAGCCCCTTGCCTGCTCCCCAGTGCCCCCCCCAACACCCCTGCGCATGCCCAGGGCTTCCACCACCCCCACCTCGTGCTCCCCTACTGCTCCACCCTCATCCCCGCGTGTGCATGCCACTCCCTCGAGTGCTCACCCAGATCCCCAAGGGCTCACCCGGCACCCCTCCTTCCCGCGCACGCCCAGCGCGTGCCCCCTCATGTCCACCTGGCGCCCCTGCGCACCCATCCAGCGACCCCCCCCCACACCCCTACGCAGCGATCCGGCTGCCTGGAGGCTCACCCAGGTCCCCGCGCGCCCACCCAGCGCTCACCTGGCGGCCCCCGCGCGCCCACCCAGCGCCCTCGCGCGCCCCCGCGCGCCCACCTAGCGCCGTGTTCCGCTCCTCCAGCAGCTCCACCTTCAGCAGCTGGTCGGGTGGCGGCGCGTCCTCCAGCCGCGCGATGAGGGCGGACACCAGGTCGTCGTGGTTGCCCGGGAAGACGCCCAGGTGGTCTCCGGGCTGGTACTGCAGCTCGGGGTTCCCGTTGGTGTGGAGACGCACGAAGATGGTGGAGCGGCTGCAGGACGGACGTGGGCAGTGAGGGGGCGCCGCCCTCGCCCCCTCATCTGTGGCCCGGTGGTCCGGCTCCCCTCCCCCACCCCTGCTGCGAACCCTCGCGAGGGTGGGGGTGGGGGATGGGGGGACATGGCCCCACTCCTCCCTTCTCCTGCTCAGGCCCCTTCTGGGAGACGGCGGCGCCCCTGCTCCCTGGATCTTCTGGGGGGGGGCTCCTCCTCCACTCCCCCCCCCACTGCTTCCTGCTCCCCTTCCTAACGGAGGTTTGTCCTGGAGCTGTCCGGTGTAGACCCCCATGGATGGATGAACACAATCAAGGGGGTCCGAGGAGACACCCCAGAAGCAGCCTCTGACCTGTGGGGTCCCAAACTCTCAGGCTCTGGGTTTGGGGCTGTAGGCCGGGGGACCTGGCCTAAAGGAGGGGCTTCCCCGAGGAACTCGGGAAGGAGCTAGAAAGCCCTCGCCCACAGGGGCTCCTCTCACACAGTGCTGGGACCCCCGGGACACGGAGCCCGAAGCTCTTGGCCCTCTCACATGTCAGTCACACGCAGTCCCGGGCTGTTCATCCATCCTCCCTGGTGGTATGTAAATCAACGCTTGAATAGGCCTGTGGGCTCGCTATTGAAAGGCGTTTTTTATTTATTTATTTTATTTTTGGCACAGTCAAGAGCCCTTTGTGCTGCAAATAGCCACCGTTATTAAAAATAGTTGCGCCCGCACATTCGATTTTGGGGGGAGGGATGTATCATGTATTTTTTTTCCCTTCAAGCAAGGCACCCCTGTCCTTGGTTTGGTAGAAACTGTAGGTGGTGATGTTGGGATCTGGGGCTCCGTTCTTCCTCTCGTGGGTACGTTTTTCCCTCTTGGGGCACTCAGTCTGTCAATCCCTGGGTCCTGCAGGGCCACCAGCCTTTGGTTCCTGGACAGCAAAGCCAGCCCGGGCCCAGGAGGGGAATTGGCAGAGCCGGCCGCCAGCAGGGGGCGCTGTGGTGCCGCTGAGCTGGGGGCCCAAGAAGCCTGTGCAAATCAATTCCCACTTTCTCCCAGATCATCACGAATCCCTTGCGGAGTCTATTTGCCTCTGTTCTTTTGGCCGGTACAAAATAGAAATGCGGAGGACCCGGACTTGCTGAGCTGGCTCATGTCCTCAGCCACTTTCCCAAACCAAGTTCTCTGGCGTGCGGCCGGATGTGGTCAGGCAGATGAGGAGGAGGAGGGATGGGGTGGGCAGCTGGCAGGTGAGCGAGAAGGTGGACGCCCACACCCCCACTGGGAGCTCCCCCAGGGGACCTAGTGAGCTGCAGACAGGCTGGCTGAGAATGCCCCCGCTGAAGCTGCCGTGACCCCAGGGACCTCGGCAGGAGAGCCCGCCTAAACCCAGCCTCTGTAACCTCAGTTCCGTTCAGGGCTTCTAAGCACTGTACAGTTTTCTAAAAATAAAAATGCTGAATGTGCTGGAGCGATAGTACAGCGGGTTTGGCATTTGCCTTGCGTGAGGTTGACCCGGTTCGATCCCCGGCATCCCATAGGGCACTGCCAGGAGTAATTCCGGAGCGCAGAGCCAGGAGGAAGCCCTGAGCACCGCTGGGTGTGAGTAAAAATAAACAAATAAATAAAAAATGGTGATCCAGAACTTGGGATACATTTGGGCTGCTGAGAAGTGCTCGGGAGGGAGAAGTGGCCGGTATCAGGAAGACAGTCACAAGGGCTCCACTGTGCCCTTCCCCAGAGCATCTCTGCTGGAGCTGTTTTTATATCCACAGGGATGCATCACACACACACACACACACGCACACACACACACACACACACACACACACACCCATGCGGGTGTGCTTGGCGGTGGTTCAATGACAGTTTTGCAGATAAAAGAACAGTTGCTAACTTTCAGCCACGCTGGGCCAAAAAAAAAAAAAGCGAGTGTTCACAGTAAACTGTCACTCGAGAGCAGTTTGAGTTAATAAGGTTCGTTCATTCAACCGATTTACACTGTCAGGCCCAGGTTGTGGGTGGAGAGAGGGAGAGGGAAGGGGGGGGGAGAGGGAGGGAGGGAGAGAGAGAGGAGGGAGAGAGAGATCTAGGACCATTAGGCACTCAATTCTCTCTGAGAAGGAACTTTCGAGGATCTCCGAGGGGCAGGTGGTGATAGGGGTGGGGGTGAGTGGCTACCTGACCCTCACCTGATCTCTGACCCTCAGACACTCTGGGGGAGGCCTGTGTGTCATCTGACTCCTGAACAGTGAGGCATGGCCCTGCCAACATCTGGGGGAACTAGCATGTGCAAAGACCCTGAGGTAGGAAAAAGGTGTGGCATGTCAGAGGAAAGGAAGGACAGCGGGAGAATGGTCAGCAGGGTGTGGGCCGTGGGTGGTGGGGGACAGGGGGAAGGCCTTGGCATGATCTGGGGGGCAGGGAGCTGGGGACTTGCCCTGATTCTCATGAGGGGTGGAGGGAGGGCCAGGCCGAGAGGTGTTCCCGGGTGCTGGGGTTCGGACCCAGGTCTCTGGCTTTCAAACCCAGTGGCTGTAGTCCTCTAGGCAATCTCTCCGGCCCTCAGTCTTCTAAAACTATTCTGGGAAGGGGTGACAAGTCCAGCCTGTTTCAGCCACTCAGATGAGCTGAACAGGCAGTAGGACAGGGACAGGCCCCAGCCTCCACGGTGACGGGCGTGCAGGAAGGAGGGGAAGCCTGACCACCCTGGGGGCCCAGGGCCTGCCACGTGCTTCCCAGAAGCCCCCGCTCTGTGCCCCCTGTCTGCCTCCTGCCGACCCTCTTCCTATTTCCAGGTGCCCCTCCTGGCTTCCAGGACCCGAGCCCAGCTGGAGCCCGCCTGCCTGCCTCCATCTCGGGTGCTGCTGTACGGGGGGCCAATTGGTGTCCCTGGGAATCTACTTCCTGGCAGGACAGAAAATGTGGTCACTTTTCACTCCAGGTTTGTAGAGATTATCTGCCGCGCCTTCTCCTTGGCAGCTTGCTGGCAATTAAGGGTCTCCAGGGCAGTGATTTGTGCTATTTTGTTTATTTATTTTAAAATTTATTTATTTATTTATTTTTTGCTTTTTGGGTCACACCCAGCAATGCACAGGGGTTACTCCTGGCTCTGCACTCAGGAATACCCCCTGGCGGTGCTCAGGGGACCATATGGGATGCTGGGAACTGAACCCGGGTCTGCCAATCCAAGGCAAACGCCCTCCCCCGCTGTGCTATCGCTCTGGCCCCATCATGGTATTTTGTTTAAGGAGCCACAGCCCGACTAGGGCCTGGGGCAGAGGAAATGAGGGAGAATTTCAAGACCTTTGCACTTAATTATCCCTTATAACAAAATAATCCTGGAAGACTGGAAAGGACACTTGAAGCTGAGCACTGGGTGCCCTGAGGCTGGTGTTGCAGAGACAGCTCCATCCATTCTGGGCCATTGGTAAGTGACTCAGATAACTGTGTTTATGTCTCCGCTCAGCCGCTCTGCCCAGCCAGCTGCCTGTCCCTGGAGCTTACCCTGGGTCTTGGTCCCACTTAGCGCCAAAACATGTGTAGATTGCTCTCCTAGTTTTGGGGGGCAGGGGTCTCTTCAGGCTCGCCGCTGAAGTGTTCAGGAGTTTTCAAGTTCCATCCCCCTACCCTCCACCCCCACCCCCACCCACCACCGCGTCTCTTAACTCTCACTTGCCCCCAGCACAGAAAGGGAAAGTGTAATGGGTATTCTGTTTTCTTTGGGGGGCCACAGCTGGCGATGCTCAGGCCTTACTCCTGGCTCTGCACTCAGGGATCACTCATGACAGGCTTGGGGATGCCGGGGATAGAACCTGGTCGGTCACATGCAAGGCAGGCAGCTCACCTGCTGTCCTATTGCTCTGTCTCCCCTTGGGTATTTTAAGCCTAAACGCCCTTGCTGAGCCAGAAAGTTTTCTACTGTGAACACTACATTTAACTCATTAGTCAAAGGGATTTATTTCCCAGCCCGGTTCATCTTTTTTTTTTTTTTCCGACTTTCTGAGTCACACCCGGCGATGCTCAGGGGTTCCCTGCCTCTGCACTCAGGAATCACTCCTGGTGGTAGTCAGGGAACCCTATGGGATGCCAGGGACTGAACCGGGTCAGCTGCGTGCAAGGCAAACACCCTGACCGCTGAACTATCATTCTGGCCCCTTGGTTCATTTTTTTACTATCTGAGAATCCAGACCAGACTGACTCTTCTCTTTTTTTTTTTCTTTTTTTTTGCTTTTGGGTCACACCCAGAGATGCACAGGGGTTACTCTTGGTTTTGCACTTAGGAGTTACTCTTGGCGGTCCTCAGGGAACCATATGGGATGCCAGAGATCGAACCTGGGTTGGCCATATGAAAGACAAACGCCCTACCCGCTGTGCTATTGCTCCAGCCCCAATGGTGCTAACTCTTAGGGGACAGGGGGCCCAGAGGTGGGCTCAAAACACGGCCCGGCCTGTAGAAAGTGCTAGACAAATGCCAGAAATCCTTTCAGCCACCGTCATCACTTGTGGTGGGGACTCAGAGGGCCTGGCGGGCTTGTCCAAGGCGACAGAGCTGGTGTTGGCAGAGCCAGAGTCAGGGCTGGGGGTGTCTGTGCCGAGAGTCCCTTGTGCTCTGTGCATGTCCCCCACCATCCCCCATCAAAAAAGAGACCAAGATTGCCAAGACTCTTCATGTCACGGCAAACGGGAAGATGCCTTGACAAGGGTCCATGCAGAGACGTCTCCTGGCACCGAGGAAATAACACCACCAAGCTGCCAGGATTGGCATGAGTCCAGGAGTGTCCAGGATCTGAATGAACCGCCACGAGGGCCCCATCTGCAGCCCTGGGTGGCTGCTGTGTGTCCTGATCAGACTGGGGGGCAGCACAGCCTTCGCCCTGTGGCTGTGACCCCTGAACCCCCACTGCACTGTGACCAGAGTGACACGGCCAGCAGGACCCAGCCTGGCATTTCATGAAGCCGAGAAGCTTGGGTGCCAGGGGGAAGGAACTGGACCCAGGCATGCTGGTCAGTGTCCTCCACTGCCCGGGAGGGGCTCTCATTGGGAAGCTCTAAATTTGGGGGGCAATGGACAGTCATTGGAAGTCAAGTGCTTGGGTCACAAGCCAAGGGGAAGGTGACTTCTGAGCATCTGGACTTGGGAATGAGCCACTTCCACTGGGATGAACCGTCACCCCCAAGGTGCCCAATGGAGGCTGGACAGACACTGGCCAGCACCTGAGAGAAGGGCCCTGGCCAGCAAGGCGGGACAATGATTGCTGGTGGAAGCCTGATGGCCAACTCTCCACCAGGGTGTGGACCCCAGGGGACCCTCGCCTCTCCCCTTCCATCTCCCCCGCTTCTTTTCCTGCCAGAGCTCTCTTGGGAAAGGGAAGGCAGGAGGCACCGTGCTCAGAGCCGCAGGAGCCAAGTGCGGCCCCCGCCACCACACTGAACCCCTGCTGACCTCCGCTACCCCCCACCCCCACGCTGCTCTGGGCTGGGTGCAAAATGGGCGGCGCTGGAGTTGCAAAGGTGCCAGCCTGGGGCCGAGGCCGCCTACCTGGACTGGGCACTCTGGAGGTTCTGACGGCTGAGCACTCGAGCAGCTGAGACCCACTTCTTGTGGGCGCCGGACAGACCTGGGGGAGGAGAACCACAGACTGGAGCTGGGCTGCAGCAGAGGCTGGACGCTCAGCAGTCCGCCCCTCCCGCCTCCTCCATCCCATAGCAGGAGAACCGGCAGTGATGTGTGTGCGTGTGTGTGTGTGTGGGGGGGGGGTCATGTGAATGTGTGTGTGGTGTGTGTGGTGTGTGTGTGTGTGTGTGTGTGTGTGTGACGTGGTGGGGTGTGGAGGCATGGGTGTGTGATGGTGTGTGTGGAGTGGGGTGTGTTGTATGTGGGTGTATGGTATGTGGTGTGTGTGGTGTGGGTATATGTGTGGTGCAGTATGTGATGTGTGTGCATGTGTGTGTGTGTGTGTGTGGTGTGAATGGTGCAGGTAATGCGGAACCCGAAGCCAGTGTGGCAGAGGGAGAGGTGGGGAGGTGGCTAGGGCAAGGTGCCACAAGGCTGGAGAGACAGCCTGGGGCGTGGCCCGGGGCCGGAGCAGAGCAGATGGCATTAGAGGACACCAGGGCACTCAGACCCACTCTCCAGACCCCCTTCAGAGGTGACGGTGCCCATATCTCCTCTCCCGCATCATGGATGCTGTACAGGAGAGTGTGTGTTGGTGGGGGGGGGGGGGCTATACCTTGGGTCAGTTCCGGAGCTTCAGCCACATAGGTGAGGCGGAACTTGTTTCTTTTCCAGCTGCGGTCATTGCTGATGAGGGAGTTGTTGGCTTTCTCGATGTTCACGTCGTCACCCACACAGAACACATCACAGGCTGCCTGTGGCCCAGATGGGGGTTCTGTGACCTCTTTCAGCCAAGAAGGGATCCTCCCCAAGAGCCCCAAATGGGGGTGTGATCCCTTCATCCACATGCCCATCCATCCATCCATCCATCCATCCATCCATCTGTTGGTCTATCCATTCATCCATCCATCTGTCCATCCATCCATATGCCCATTCACCCATCTGTCCATCCATTCATATGTCCGTCCATCCATCCATCCATCCATCCATCTGTTGGTCTATCCATTCATCCATCCATCTGTCCATCCATCCATATGCCCATTCACCCATCTGTCCATCCATTCATATGTCCGTCCATTCATCCATCCATCCATCCATCCATCCATCCATCCGTCCACCTAACCATCCATATACCCATCTGTCCACCTATCCATCCACCCATTCATCTGTCCATCCAAATATCCATCTGTTCATCATCCATCCATCCATCCATCCACCTATTCATCTATCTATCCACCCATCTTTCCATCCATTCATCAACCCACTCAACTGTCTGCCCATCCATACATCCACCCACCCACCCAACCATCTTCCCACTCATTATAAATCCAAATTTTAATCTATTCTGTTACTTCTGCATGTCTTTACTGTGCCAGAATATGACATCTATTACTGACTTTAAGATCAAATCTCTTTAATATAAACCCCATGCATGTCATTTTTCCTGCAATGAACATGTGTAGAATCTTATCATCAAACACATAAAAGACAGTAAACAACTTAGACTCTCCTAGCCACCTTCCTCTAAAAAGTTAGAAAATATCTTATTAAAGATAGAATGAATATCTGGGTATTTCTCTCTTTCTCTACGTTTCTAAGTTCCCAACTTTTGTGATTCTAAGAATGACCACTCAGGATTATTTCTGAAAATTCAGAAGATGGCCAAGGTAGCTTCTACTTAGTTTTGGCCTCCTGTTGATTTTGCCGCAGTCCAAGTGTCCCCTGAGTGGATAAACAGGATATAGTCTCTCCATACAGTGGGAAAAGTCCTCCAGAGGACTGAAGTGCTGACAGATACTGGTCGTGGGGGAAGCCCGATGATGTGCCACAGGGAACGGCCAATATCGAACCCAGGGATTGCAAAGTTCCACCCACACAGAATGTCTAGCAAGAGCCAAGGCGGAGAGACAGGAAGGGGGTCCCAGAACCGAGGGGGCACTGGGAGTATGGGGGCGACTGTTCCAGGTCGGAGGGCTAAGTGGATGCCCACGCAGCTGCCTTGGAAGACAGTCCAGCTTCCGGGCTACTCATGCAGAGAGACAGGGGAGGGAATGGGTGGACACGGCATGTCCTGTTTGCTGCTGGGCGTCCATGTGCCTCTGCAGGTGGGCTCTGTGGGTGGGAGGCCGGCAGTGGCCTTCCCTCCTGGGCTGCTGCAGAGAGTGCGGTCCAGGGCTACTCTGTCCTTCCGTGGTCACCCCCATGAATACAGACATTGGGTACTAGTGTCCCCCCCCCCACACTAGCCTCTGGAGGGCACCAGGCAGCAGCAAGTCCCAGTCAGGAGCCCCATCCGGGAGCCCCAGGGGGCGATAGCACAGCGGAGAGGGCGTTTGCCTTGCATGCAGCCAACCTGGGTTCGATCCTTGGCATCCCATAGAATGCCCCAGGCAATGCCAGGAGTAATTCCAGAGTGCAGAAGCAGAAGTAACCCCTGAGCATCACCAGGTGTGACTGCCCCCTCTCCAAAAAAGGAAAAAAAAAAAAGATAACCAGTTAGGGCCCGAGACAGAACATAGATTAAAGTATGGCAACACACAGGGTCCCTGAGCATTGCTGGGAGTGAGTCCTGAGCACTGGGACAGGAGTTAGCCCCTGGGCAATGCTGAATACCCCCTCCAAACAAAACAAAGCAAAAAATGTGCAGTGTAGGACTGGAGTGATACTACAGCAGGGAGGGCATTTGCTTTGCATGTGGCCGACCTGGGGTTCGATCCCCAACATCCAATAAGTTTCCTCGGGCACCTCCAGAAGTAATTCCCGAGTGCAGAGCCACAAGTAATCCCCGAGCATTGTGAGGTGTGATCCGAGCTGCCCTTCCCCCCCAAGGAAAACAGTCCAGTGTCGTGGGGTTTAGTTTCTTTACAAGGTTGCATGGAGACCACTGAGATCCATCTCAGGTCACCTTTACCAGCACCTGGCAGCCCCCTCACTCCCTTTCTCTCTGGCCATGAGCAGCCTGGAATCCTCTCTTTGCATATGCCTGCCCTGACCCCTGACCCCTGACCTGGAAACAGATCCCTACTCCTGGGGTCTTCTGAGACTGGCTCTTGCTCCAAGCTTCCAACTGTCCAGATGGCACCAGGTGCCAGCGCTTCGTGTCTTCCTAACTGCGGAACACCCCTGCACGGGTGCACCCCGCTTTCTCTCTCTCACCCCTGCAGGGCGCGCCCTGCATTCTCTCACCCCTGCAAGGCTGCACCCCGCTTTCTCTCTCTCATCCCCTGCACGGGTGCACCCCGCTTTCTCTCTCTCTCTCTCACCCCTCTTAGTGTCTGGCTTTGTCAGCAACTGCCTGGAGCAACCTCATGGACAAAGGCCCAGCCCAGGAGCGAGCTCGTCCACCTGGATGGGCGTCTGGGCCATGGGCCTCAGCTTGGGCCCGCTAGCCCCGTTCCCTACTTCCCCTCGAATGGAATCGGGGGCGGGGGGCGGGTGGCTCCTCCCAGCCGCACCCGTCCAGGGCGCGAAGACCAGCTCCTTCCCCTGAGGCCAGGGACAGGGTCCCGGGGGTGTATGGGGGGCAAACGTCGATGTCAGACCACTGGCCCCAACCCCGCGAGACCGTCCGAGCGCCGGGGCTGGGCTGTGCCACACGGTACCTTGAAGACCTTCTTGGCCCAGGTCCTGAAGGCCTCCTCCTGCCCGCACAGCTCGTCACCCTCCCGCATCTTCAGGATCCGTTCCCCGCCCAGCTCCTCCAGCAGCGTGTCCACGGCGTGGCCGAAGGCGCAGAAGTGCGGGTAGGCCCTGGAGCCCAGGCCGAACACGGAGAACCTGCCGGAGCAGAGTGGCGGGACAGTGCAGGGGGGCGGCCCTGTGTCCCCGCCAAGCCGCGCACAAGCTCCCAGGCTGGGCCTGGAGCCGGAGCCTTCCCCAGAGGAAACGGGGGTGGGGGGGCAGGTGGTTCCTCCCAGCCGCTAGCGTCCAGGGCGCAAAGACCAGCTCCTTCCCCTGAGGCCGAGGACAGGGTCTCTCTCTCACTCCTGCACGGGTGAGGGGAAGTAGGGGATGGGGCTAGCGGGGCACGCGGAGGCCAGGTGCGGCTCCTCAACTCACGGGATCCTCATGCGACCTTAAGTGCAGAGAAAGTGGGGCTGGGGGGGGGGTGATTCCAGGGGTGCCTTGCACGGAGAGGACTAGGTCCCGTCCCTGTTTAATGAAGGCTGTTGCCCAACACCATGACTGCTGCCCTCAGGGCCGTGCCCTGCCTCTTGGGGGCTCCGGGGAGGGCCCGCTGGTGACAACTGCGGAGATCCAACATGAGACTTGGGGCCAGACTGACGGTTGAATGGGCTGAGCATGTGTGCCGCATGGGAGGGGCCTGGGGGTCGACCCCTGAGGTCAGCGCCAGGTGCAGCCTCTGAGCAGACCTTGAGCACTGCTGGGGGGGGGGGGGGCTTGCCCCCACGCCCACACCCGCCCCTGAAACCAACCAAGCAGCCAAACAGAGGAATAGCACAGCCCAACTCCAGACCCGGATTCCAGGCCCTCTGGGGGGAGGTGGACATCCCACAGGGGGCGGGCGGTTCTGGGAGATTCTGATGGGATGGTGAGGAGTAGGGATCACTGGGCTAGAAGCTTCCATCAGGCTGGGAAGCACCAGGGGCTGAGGGGCCACAGCACACGAGACATGCTGATGGTGGGGGAGGCTCAGAGGAGTCGGGGTGGCAGGGGGTGCGAGGGAGGGTCCCCGCCTACTGGGATGCAGGTGGTGATCTGAGGGCGAAGGGGCCCCCCACCACCACTCCACCCTGCTTCTGAAATGCCCACCTGGCAACCCAGACCTGTTTCCCGGGAGCCTTGGCGGCTCTGGCGCTGGACGTGGTGCTCACCTCACATTGGCCAGCGGGCCAGTGCTCTCAAAGTTGTCTCTGAGCTCGGCCCCGTCGCCCGACGACTTCCGGGAGTCAGAGTATGAGGACACGCTGTTGAAGCGGACCTTGTAGCTCCTGCCGAGACCAAAGAGCGTCTGTGAGCATGGGGAGTTCCCCCACCTCGCCCCTACCTGAGACTCCCTGCCCCAAGTGTTTCTGCAGTCATTCTTGGATCTAGAACGATCTAGAATGTTCTAGAAACGAACCCATCTCCTCTTTCTTTCACCCACCCACGAGAGGTCTGGATTGGCAAAGTGTCTGAGCCTGTCCATGGTGCCAGGGGTTCAGTGGACAAGCAGTGAGGACCGCATTGCACTGGTCCCTCACTTTTGTCAGGTGACCTTTGTCCCCCAATGTCCGGGCGTGCAAGAATCGTGCCCGGCTCTTTGTGAAAACGCAGCCCGTGATTCCCAAGGGGCTCTGCAGTTCTGACCAGTTACTGGGAGAAGCCATGGCTGCCGGTCCCCAGACCTCACCTTGAGGACTGCCCTTGTGCTGTCGTCCGTGGTCACTGCTGCGGAGGTGACCGAGACCATCCATGTTTCAAGGGGTTTACCTTCATTATTAGCTCAACGGCAAGTGCCCAGTGGTCAGGGGAGGTTCCATACCGGGTGCCCCGAGAGGGAGTGTTTATTCTAGGTGGAAGGCTGTCCTCCCCAGTCTGTGGTTCTGGTCCTTGGAGAACTCAGGCAGCCTCATCCACACACAAACAAGAGATGCTCTGGCCACTGACACATGGCACAAAAATAAATCCTTCTCGGGGGAAGGCCAGGGCCACTGGACTGAAATCACAGCCCCAAGGCTTCAGAAGAAGGATTTGGAATTAAAAAAAAAGAAGTAATAAAACCAGAAACAATTTGCCAGTTCTCCTCTGACAGCAGTTTTGTTCCCAGAGAGGCAGAAAGAACACAAAAATCAAAGCCAAACAAACATCTCCAAGACAAACTCCATCCTCCCCCACCCTGCCCCAAGCCCCCCATACCATCCCTCCCGGCCCCCCCGACCCCCCCGACCCCCCAAAACCAAAGCAAAACACAGAAGCTCGCGCAAGAGACGAAGAAAAGCCCCAGGGTGTCTAAGCTGGACCTTCCTCCAAGTTTCCCCCTTTCAGCATCAGGGAAAGTTCTAAATATATGGAAGTGTATTTTCTGCCCCAAAATAGTCTCGCATTGAGTCACTTCTCCAAATAAGACACGCGGCAGATGAGGGGGCGGCAGCATCGTCAGTGTGGGCGGGCTTGGGTGCCGGCTGTGGGGTAAAAATACCCGCCCATGGGTTTTGATGGGTCGGAGGTTCTTCCAAATGCTGTGCTCTCTGGCATCATGCTCAGACTCTCCAATCAGCTCCCTGGGGTGGTCAGGGTTGGGGATCATTTCTTCCCATTTGGTGGAGAAGCAGGATGAGGCCCCTCGGGGTAGGGGGAGCCGCCGTTCTAGGCCCAGGCGGGTGGGGTTAAGAATGCGAGGCAGGGTTAGAACGCAGGTCTCCCCGAGCCAAAGCAGGACGCTCGGGCCCCAGCCATGCACACACACATGCACGCACACACGTGTGCACGCGCTACCTGTGCCGGCGGTCCCGGGCTAGGGCCAGACCCTGGGCTCCGGGGTCGCCTCTCGGGAGGGCAGGGCCTTTACGGGGAAAGAAAGGCAAGGGTTCCGGGTTCCTAGGGGGAGAACGGACGGTCCCCTCTCTCTCCCCGACGAAGGCCCCGGCACGGGGCAGGTGACATGGGGCACCTGGCGAGCACGGACCACGGGGACGAGGCCGTCCCCGGAGCCCGAGTTCAGCAGGCGGAGGGGACTCTGCTGCCCTGCCTGGCCTCCGGACGCCAGCCGGCCCCTGCCTCTGTGGTCAGCCTGGGGTGCGGGGCTGGGTCCCGCTCTGGTTTGTGGGGAGGCTTGTTCTGGGCACCCCAAGGGGCAGCTCAGGCGGCCTTGGCCTCTGCTCCACGTTATGGGAGGGGAACAAAGGGCACCTCAAAGGTCACAGTGCTCGCAGGTGTCTCCACTCAGTGGGGCACCCTGACAGTGCTCAGGGCTTACTCCTGACTCTGTGCTTGGTGCTCTCTCCTGGCTCTGTATTTGGTCGGGGATCACTCCAGGCTCAGGGATCACTCCTGGCTCTGTGCTCAGGGCTCACTGATGGCTTTGTGCTCAGAGCTTACTCTTGGCAGGGATCACTCCAGACTGAGGGATCACTCCTGGCTCTGTGCTCAGGGCTCACTCTTGGAGGGCTCGGGGACCATGGGGGGTGGGGGTGTTGCCAGGAATTGAACTCAGTGTCCTGAGAAAGAGCCAGAGGACCAACCCACACAGCATCTAGCCACGTGGGCCTGGGGGCGTGTCTCTGAGCCCAGCCCTGGGCCTGAGCCTGCCCTACCTGAGCAGGAGGTGGGAAGGTTCTACGGGCAGAGGCCCTGGCGGCCTGCCCATCAACCTGGTGCTTGATCTCTGTGCGGGCCTCCTGGATGCTCATGGCCATTTTTGAGTGAGTCTCCAATGAACTAGAAAGTCAGGGCGAGACTTTCGCGGGCAGGCATGGAAATGTCAGATTGACCCTGCGTGCTCCAGACAGCCCTGGGCTCTCAGGGGTCACAAGTGGACGGAGCCTCACGGTAACACCCCAACATCAAAGATGGAACTACCACACTGTGTGTGTGTGTGTGCGTGTGTGTGTGCACATGTGCGTGTCTGTGTATATGTGTGTACGTGTGAGTGTGTGAGTATGTGTGTGTGCATTCATGTGTGCATGTGCGTGTAAGTACGTGCATGTGTACGCGTATGTACATGTATGAGTGTGTGCGCATGTGTGTGTGTGTGTGTAGATGGTGTCAGGGCACGCAGGCGGCTGTCCACTCACTTCCTTTCCTCATGCACAGAGTTGGGGTGTCTCATCTCCATCAGAGCGCAGCCGAATTTCTGCGGAGTGGAAGAGAGGAGGTGCACGTGAGTGTTGGCCCGCAGGCCGGGCCTTAGTGTCAGGGCTCAGGTGGGGCACGGAGCCGGGAGTGCAGTCACACCTGCTCGAAGGGGACCCTCCGCCCCGCACTCAAGCTACCACTTGGTTCCCCTGAGCTCAGGCTCCATGTTTCTGCACAGGAGCGACATGTGCCAAGACATGGGGCCTTTCGGGGACCACGGTTCTCACTAGGGCTCGGCTTGGAACACTTGGACTGTCCTGACTTGGATCCAAGTTGAATCCACGGGACACTGGGAAGATCCTTGAACGGGCAGGCAGGTGGCCCAGGAGGGCCCCCACCCCTTCCTCCTGCTCCTGGCACCCCAGGGAACCCCCAGGTGGCCCATCTCACCTCCCCATTCTCAGGGGGGTCTCCGTTGCCGAAGGTGCTGGTGACCACCAAGACCAGCGTTTCGTGTTCCAGGTGCACGATGTCATACTCCTCCATGGACATGACCTGGTGGCGGGGACGGAGGAGGGAGGGGACGTCAGGGCCACTTTGGGAGCCCCTGTGTGGGCAGAGCTCAAGCTCCAGCTGTTCCGGTAGGTTCTGGTGGGTTTGGATGGGGTGGGGCTCTTGGGTGGTCATTGGCCCTCGGGTCACCAGAGAATCTGGGGGCAGCGGCCTAAGGGCTCGGCTGCAGCAGAGACTGGGAGCCTCGAGCATCTTGTAACCTGGAATCTTGTGGATGACATTCATGCTGGGGGTGGGCGTGGGGTCCCCTGGCTGGAGACTGCCAGTCTGGAGTTGCTGGGCCCTGGTCAGTCTCAGGGAAAGCCTGTGATCTTACAGCTGATATTTTTTTTTCCTGTTTGGGTCACACCCAATGATGCACAGGGGCAACTCCTGGCTCTGCACTCAGGAATCACTCCTGGCGGTGCTCGGGGGACCATATGGGATCCTGGGAATTGAACCTGGGTCGGCCACAAGGCAAATGTCCTACCCACTGTGCTATCCCTCCAGCCCCATTACAGCTGAGATTCATTGTAGCAACATTTCTCTGGAAGGTTCCAGGGAAGCCAGGATCCCAAGGAGTGTCTTGAAAACCAGTGGGGCTGGGACAAATGTGCATGAGAAGCATCTAGATTCTTCATTTTGTCGGTTTCGGGGCCAGACCTGGCGGTGCTTGGGGCTCAGCTCCTGGCTCTGTGCTCAGGTGTCATTGGGTGCCAGGATCAAGCCTGGTTGGCTGCATGCAAGGCAAACGCCCTGCCCGGCCCGACTGTCTCCCCAGCACCTCCGCTCTTTGGGGAATTATATGCCATTATCTGCAGCTGGAAGGTTCTGAGAACTGGACGCAGCTCAGTGGACAGAGCTCCCCAAACGGACTTCAGAATGTCATTCTAGCACGTTTCTCTAGAGATGGGGCGTTGACTTGCGATTTCTGGGTCCCCGGAAGGCTGGCGAGAAGGCCTCGCCTCTCTGACGTGCATGGCGGGAGTGTGCCTGCTGGGAGCGTCCGTCCCTTCTCTGGCTGTACCCTGTGCCCCACCCCCCACAGATGCTCCCCTTCCCGCCTTTACGCGTCCCGACCCACCTTGGCATCAAAGGCGTGTTTGAAGATCTCACACAAGGTCTTGGCATAGGCCTGAGACTTGCCCGTCTCTGTGGCATAAAGGATGGTGGCCTTGACCCGCTTGGCCATCGCCTGTCCCATCAGTTTGGCCGAGAACTTGACGGCTCTGAGGGGTGAGAGGATAGCGAGGAAATTGGGAAACGGAGAGAGGAAGGAAGACGCAGGCCACCACCCTCCCTGGCACTCTGGCCAAACCCCCGACGTCTCCGGGAGGGAACTTCAGTCTCTGGATCTTCGACAGACTCCGGGTGCCTGAGATGCCCCTTTCTAAACTCTGCCAGGGACTGGGAGGGGGGTGCAGTGCTGATGGAGCTCACCGAGCTCACGGCCTGCCTGGGTTCAATGCCCTGCACCCCGTGGTCCCTCAAGCACTGCCGGGTGTGGCCCTGGAAGCCCCCAGCGCTGGTGACTGAGGTAGCACCCGACCCTCGGGCCCGTGATGGAGCTGCTGGGGCCCCTCCGAGCCCCAAAGTCCCGCCAGAGCAACCAGCTCCATGGCTGCTCAGGTCCACAGTGTGTGACTTCACTGCCTGGCCCTTCTCCCCGCAGCTTTGGGGTGCCAAGATGCCCCCAAAGATCATTCCTTGCATTGGGTGGTTCCTTGGCCCTGGTGCAGGGGGACGGAGTGCGGCTGCCGTGGGGTTATATTCATGCACTCGTGAGAGGATGAGGAAGCGAGAGAGGTGGGGGAAGACAAGAGCGGAGGGTGGAAGGCCTTGGTTCTGCAAAGGAGGGCTGGGCTGGGTGGTGAGGGCTGGGCCTAGCCCACTGCCCCACAGACAGACTCTCAGTGAGCACCTCCTCTGCCGGGGGCCAAAATGTCAGTAGAGCCTGACCTGCAATTTAGGAAACGAATCTCTCCTTGGAAAAATGTTAAAATACATCGTGTAAATTTCTGAGCTATGGCCGAGATAACTGCCGCGAGCCCGCCAAAGGTTAGGGCTCACACCCTGATTTATTGAATATCTGCGTGCCTTGTTAATTCCCCTTTTTGCCCACTTCCTCGTGCAATCAATTATAAAAGGCTAGCTTGGGAGGAATAGGTTTGGAGCTTGACCAGAGTCTTGTCTGGCTCCCATTCTTCTATCTCTCTTTTTTCCCACTCCCACACCCTCTCCCAGTTATCCACATTGACCAGTCCCGCGGGTGGGGCACTCCTCCAGGAGGCCAGGTTGCCACCGGAGCCCCGGGGAGTGGAAACGTCACACACCGGGCCCTGGAGCATTCCAGAACCTTCCTGCCATCCTTGGAAGGCGTGGGGGTGGCACTCAGGGGTCCAGGGCGGTCTGGGCTCCCCTTCTGAGCCAGCAGCCGACCCCCTCTATTCACCAGGAACCTGGCTAATTACCCCACCTGGGGCTCACTGGCGGCAAACTTCGTCATTTTTCGGAATCGGGGTGCCCGCCCACACGGCAGGGGCCCTCGGAGCTCAGGGGGAGAGGCTGACAGGAATAAAAGGTGCCCGAGGGCCCCCTCTGAATGAGCTGCACAGAGAAAAGCAGCTATAATTAACTCCCATTGTTTCTCCCCACACGTAATAGCGCAATTAGTGTTTTAGATTTCTCCCATCTCCTTCCAGGGCACACAGGAAAGAAGCAGAAGCCACAGGCTGTCCTGGGCCTGCCTGGGCCATCTGTGGCTTCCACCGCAGGCTGGGGACTGGACGAGAGCGCGCCAGGGACAGAGGGGGCCTGGCGGCTGCACGGCTCACTGCGGGGGTCTAACCTGAGGGGAGGGGGTGAGGCAAGAGTGTGGTCAGCCCTGCGGATTCCGGTAGCCCACTCCCTCAGGGACCACTGTCAGCTGGTGCCTCCACTTCAGGGTATGACTGTCCGCAGCCTGGGCCTGGCGCCACCTGCCCTACCTGTGGGGAAAGTGAAGGGCACGGGCCCCTCTGGGCAGGTGGACACGTCCCTGGGAGCCATCACACCCCACTGCAGCTAGGCCCAGTGAGCATCTTTGTTTTAGCTTTCGGGGCACACCCGGTGATGGTCAGGGCTGATTCCTGGCTCTGTGCTCAGCGACCACTCCTGGTGGGGCTCAGGGGGCCCTAAAGGGTGCCGGGGATCAAACCCAGGTCAGCTGCGGGCAAGGTAAACATCCTCCCTGCTGTCCTATTATTCCAGTCCCATGAGAGCAGTGGTAACGGAGCCGTTCTCCCCGTCTGCACGCCCAGGAAGGCATCTCCTGAACCCTATCCCACGATTGCTCTGTGTCACGGATGTGTCCCCCTTCCTGACAGGGTCCTGGGCGGCTAGGGGAGCCAGGCCTGTGGAGTCATGATACCAGCCCAGTGTCACTGGTTCTGCTGCTCAGGCACAGCTGGCTCTGCCGGTTCTGACACCTTCTGACCACCCGACCCATCCAGTGGCTTCCTAAGTGCAACAAGATGAAGCTTGTCCCCAGTCTCCGGCCCTCTGAGCACTTTCTTTGGCATCGGTCGTTGTTACGCTCAAGCTCTCCTAAGTCTGGCTCGGACTGGCTCCCTCAGCCCCGGGGCAGTGGCGTCTTCTCCGTTTCTCTGTCCAGCAACAGCTCTGCCCTCATGGCGTGAGCTCTCCGGGACCCCTGGACTTGGCGGCCGTGGCACTTGCCGCCGTGTCGTTTCCTAAATTTGCGCGATTCTCTGGCCTGTGCCTGGCTGCTGGCTGCCAGGGGGCAGTGCCCTCATCCAGCTGGCTCTTGCCACCTGCCCTCTGCCTGGCCCAGGGGATGCCCCTGGCCCCATCTGCTGTTCAGAGGAGCCAAGGGCGTGAGCAAGCCTGTCCGGGCACCGGGCCCCTTTGGGAAGCGTGTGCTCCAGGGGCACGCGCCAAGAGCCCCCTCCTCTGGGTGCCAGGACTTCCTGTCCCGCAGTGGTGACGCCACGAAATGATGTGGTAAATGCTGCAGAGCTGTTGTTGCCTTGGTCCCTCAATGCCGGGACGGGCGACAAAGGTCGTCCCCGTCCCCTCTGTTAGGAGTGGGCTGGCTCACACAGGACAGCAGGGCCAGGAGAGGGGAGTGGTGGTACATTAGCCCCCCAGGCGCAGAGGCAGAGGGGGTGCGGGGAGTTACACCCCAGGGCTGAGCCCCCTCCCGGCCCGACTCCCGCTCCCCTCCCCAGGGGCACTCACTCCGCCAGCTTCTTAAAGCCAATGGCGCGCCGCTTGGTGGGGGTCCCGTTGGTGCCTTTCCAGACGTGGGTGTTCCAAGGGTCAGGCTGGGAAGAGAGGACGGAGGTCACTGCCGTGAGGGACGCTGGCTCCGATTCCTCGGCTCCAGGCCCGTGGGGAGGGTGGGTGACCGGGCTTGTGGGGAGAAAGGTGACCGAGACGTCCTGGCCGGAAGTCCCAGGGCGGCCCAGTTGCCCACCCTGTCCTGCCACCTCCAGGAACTGACCCCTGCTGTGGCCTAGGAAGTCCAGCACAGGGAGGCCTGTGCTGACCCCTGGGGCTGCCTCCAGCCACTGAACTCATGCGGGGGTCAAGAGTGCAAGGGTGAAGGGTGCCAGCCCCTGCCCAGGAACCCAGCCCACTCTGTGGGGCAGGGGGTGCTCAGGACCTGGTACTCGAAGGAGGGCGTGAGCCGGTAGTTGAGCATCTCCTGGTGGAAGACGGGGGTGATACTGCCGGACATGGGGGGCACGATCCACACCCAGTCGGCCGGGCAGCCCCCCCGGCAGCGGTACTCATTCTCCATGTGCTTGATGAAAGACTCGGTGGCTGAGTGGTGGTCCACGATGGTCACTTTGTCACTCTGTGGGGGAGCGGCGGGCAGTCAGGGCATGTCCAGGCAGGCACAGCGCCCCTCTGCAGCTCTGCGGCAGTCACCCCAGCTGTACCCGAGGATGTCTCCGACGCCTCCAACCCTCCAACCCATGTTTTATTGGGGTGACGTGGCCAGCAAGTCGAAACCTGCCATGACACCTTTTTTTTTTTGCTTTTTGGGTCACACCCAGCAATGCTCAGGGGTTCCTCCTGGCTCTGCACTCAGGAATTACTCTTGGTGGTGCTCGGGGGACCCTATGGGACATCGGGGATTAATCCTGGGGTCAGCCATGTGCAAGGCAAACGCCCTCCCCACTGGACTATCCCTCCGGCCCCTGCCATGACCACTTTATGCTGCACACTTCCCTGCCCCCAGTTCTTCTCTGGAAAGAGAAAGGGAGTTCCTGGGTGGGTGTGGCTCGCTTACCAACGATTCTAATAACCGATGGTGAGAAAGCAACATCCTCTCGAAGGGAAGGTGTGGGACAAAGGTGACCAGAGTGAGGAAACAGGTGTGAAGTGCACGGATACAGCAAACTGCACGGTGGGGGGTGGGGGGGGGGAGGTCGCTGACTGGGACTGAGTTGACTGTGGCTTGCGGGGTGGGGGGGGCACAGTGCCCACCTGTCCTTCCGCACGTCCCCATTTCGGGGCTTGGGGTCACACCTCGGGGTGCTCAGGGCTTACCCCTGGCTCTGGGCTCGGGCAGTCTCGGCAGTGCTCGAGGGACACTGTGCACAGAGGTCTTGGGGGTCAGACGGGTCTGCAGAACATTCTCCATCCCCCCCGGACCCTCTCTCCAGCCCCGACAGCCCTTTCCGGTGGCTCCTCCCTCCCCTGCTTCTGGCACTGGGGGGCCCCAGCGGCGCCTGGGCTCCTGATGCCCTGCTCCCCCACAGTGCAGAGTGGACAGGCCAGCCCTGAGCCCTTGCCTGTCTCCAGGGGACACGGCTCGGCCCACGCAAGGCCACGCAGCCGGGATGCACCCAGGGCTACCTGGAAGCTGTAGAGAACCGCGATGTTGATCTCCACCAGTGCCTGGTCCTTCCACAGCGAGGACGTCTTCCGCATGTCCAAATTCATCTTCTTGGCCACTTCCTGGGGTGGGGAGACACATGGGCATCAGCCGGGGCACCCCCGGCTCTCGGACGGAGGTGGGGGCGGCTAGTGAAACTGTCCTTGAGCCTCTATTTGCAGTCGCTCCATCAGTCACCGGACCCCAGTGCCCGGCCAGTCTGGGGAAGGCTTTGGGCTGTGGAAGGGGCGAGGACGCCGGGAGGGGGAGCAGTTCTGGTGGGGTGAATGCGGCAGGTGGAGCAGGCACCGAGCTGTGGCCCGGAAGGTGAGAAATAGCCGGGCGTTTGTCCCCGCAGGCAGGGAAGGTCTCTGCCAAGGCCCTAGGGCCGAGAACCAGAGCATAGTCAGCGTGAGAGGCCTGGGGGAGACGGAACTAGGCAGAACCGTGCCCAGGAACCCGGCTCTGCGTCCAGATGTGATGGAGGCTTCCGGGAGCCTGTGAGCAGAGGTGTGTGTGGCAGGGGGAGGGACAGCACCTGGATTCTGAGAGGAAGAGCTCCCCACCCCCAACCCCTACCCTGTTCTGCCCCACCCCTGCAGTGGCCACTGTTTGGCCTCTAGCCCCCGGGGGCTGCAGGCTGGCCGCTCCCTGGCAGATGTGAGAACAGAAGCTCTGAGAGGGGACTGGGTCTTGGAGGAGAAGCCCAGGGAGCGGCACCAGGCGCCAGACCCGGGGGTGGAGCAGACAGTCCCCTGACGGGCGGGTGGGTGTGTTTCTCCTGCTGAAGCCGGGTGGGGAGCGGAGAGCAGGCACCCAGTGGCAAATCCATTAATTAGAGCCGCACTTGCCGCACTTGCCGCTGCCTCTGTCAATCCCAAGTCACTCCCCGGAACCCGGGTCTCATTACGGAGTGGGAACGTGACGGCGGCTGGGGTTTGGGTAATCCGCGTCCCAGCCCCAGATGTCAATGCGGGTAGGCACAGGCAGCTGGCACCGGGGGGCTGGGGCGGCAGGCGGCTCACTTAGGATGCCCAGTGACTCCTCTTGGCCGTGAAATAGCAGCGAGTGAAAGACTCGCAAAACAGACTTGGTAAATCACTCTTTGGGGCTGAGACTTTTTTTTTTTGGTTCCATGTAGAGCACAGGCAGAGAGGGTCGTGCTGTTTCCAGAAAGCCACAGAGAGCCCGAGCGGGCCGCTATTGTTTCTACAGCAGGGTTTCGGTGAAAGAAGAGAGAAATTAGTGGCGGCTAAAAGTCTGAGGTGCATTTTACAACATAAAAGCCTCCCACCCCCCCATGCTAAGTTGAGCTGTGTCTGTGGAAAGAGCCTGAAATGACTTTTTTTTTCCCTTTTATTTATTTTTTTTTCTTTTTGGGCCATACCTAGCAATGCTCAGAGGTTTTACTCCTGGCTCTGCACTCAGGAATTACTCCTGGCGGTGCTTGGGGGACCATATGAATGCCAGAGATTGAATCTCGGGTTGGCCGTGTGCAAGGCAAACACCCTACCCGCTGTACTATTGCTCCGGACCCTGAAATAACTCCCTTCTCACCAGTATCTGGCGTGGGTTGGTGGAGGTCGAGGGGCCTTATGGGGAGCTCCGGAAGATGCCAATGCTCAGACCCCAACACGGTGGACCCGAACTATAATCTGGAGGAAGGGCCTCGGCACCATGGAGCTCCCAGGAAACCCCACTGTGCAGCCAGGCTGGGGACCCTGGGTTTAAATGCACCAATATGGAACTGGCATACAGTCCCAAAGCCCACAGCAGACCCCATGCTCCAACACATCGACGGGCTGTGTGGGCATTGCCCAGGTGACATCACGAAGTTGCTGCTTCTTTCTCATGTGGGAACCAGCCAGGGTCTAGGCGCTGGGCCACCCTGACATTTCAGGCGCACTTGCATGGGCGCCACACGCAAGCAGGCTAACTTGGCGCTTGTCCCGCTCTGGACAAGCTCACGCAGCGTTTGTCCCACGTCTCACTGTGGTGGCTTCCAGTTCTCATCTCGACTCTGTTCCCGACTGACTGTGGGACCAGGCCCTGAGCTCTGCTTCCCCTGATTAGAAGCTGGGACTCTTCAGCCCCGTCCCCACCCATCCTCTGGAGAGGGGACGGGCTGGAAGTGGAGTTAGTAACTGATCGAGTTTCTCTGATGACGCCTCCATAAAATCCAGGCTGTTGGGTCTGGAGAGCTTTGCGGTGGGTGAATATCCCCCTGTGTCAGGGCATGATGGGGCCCAATTCCCTGGCGATGGCACTCCCGGGGCTCAGGACCCCTTACCTGCCTCTGCACCTTTCCTGGTCATGCACTTGTGTCTGACACATCCCTGGCACTGACCTGTGGGTGCCAAGTCTGTCCCAGCGGGACTGGCACGAGTCAGGGGAAGGCCCAGCCTGCAGCCAGTGTGGGGGAGCCCCAGAGAACAGGTTCAGCTGCGTGTGGGCCTAGGGCCTACTAGGACCTGCCAGCTCAGCCCTCCTTGCCGGGGGGAGCCTGGGAACCTAGCTCCTCCCTTGGGGGTGGGTCAGCCAGTTGCGTAGCACAGAGTTGGGTGCATGTCCTTTTCTGCTGACCAGCAGGGTTGGAAATGTGGGACATGCACTTGTGTTCTGTGCAACGGTGAGGTAGAGGCCCAGGAGGGCGGCCTCCCAGCTGGTCACCTCTCCCTTTGGGGAACCTCACCTGTGCTCAGGGCGAGGCATGCTCGGGGCTGGGTTCAGTGAGCCCATGGAAGTTGCTCAGAGTTTTCCACAAACCAACTTAATTTTGTTAATTTTGTTCTTTTTTGGTGGGGGAGGGGAGCCAGAAGGAGGGTGGGTTGGGGCCACACCCCGAGTGCTCGGGGACCTCTCCTTGCGGTACTGGGATTCAAGGCGAATGGGTTGCCTACAGGGAAAGTGCCTTCACCCTGGCCCCGTCTCTCTGATCCTCCCTTCTGAGGACCGAGCGTGGCCCTCTGGATGTGCCCACTGGGTCCCCCGAGCTCCCGCTTATCGCCTGTCCTCTCAAGCCCGGTCTTACCTCCAGGATGTTGTAGCGGGAGCTGTCACAGTAGTCCCGCACGCCGATCTCCGTGCCCATGTACCAGCCACTGAACGGGCAGGCGCTGAACTCCAGGCCGCCGATCTCCAGCAGCATGTTGGACACGGCGGGGAGCCCATACCACTTCAGCCCCAGCTCCTGGAACCAGTCAAACCTGCGGGGGCAGCGTGGACAGCTCAGATGGGCACGGGGTGCCCTGTGGGGGGGCACAGGGTGGGATGCATGTGGTCTGGTCTGGGGTTGGTGGAAGGGGCCCGCGGGGTCAGAACTGGGTGCCTGGACTCCACTCTAGACCTGTGTGAGCCCTGGTTGCACAGCAGGGCTTGACTCCCTGCATTCCTGCTGGTTTCCTGGGAAATTCGGGGAGAACCGCTGCCTGGGGCCAGAGCTTAGCTGCCACTGAGAGAGGGTCCCTGGGGCTTGTGGACCCGTTTGTACCCAAACGACAGGAGGTGCTGCTGCTCTGGCCGCCTTTAGGGCCTGGGAAAGGGCAGGTCCCAGGTGCTGACGGGAGAGTGGACTGGGCAGATCGGGGTTCAGGCAAGATGGAGAAGGCTGCAGTCTGGTGAAGGAGGACTCACTGATTGGGGGCACCTACTCAGCTCAGGTGCAACCCCTCCCCGCACCCTCCTAAGCTTCTGTCCGGGCAGAAGAAAGGACCGGGAGGTCCGGGGATGGGCAGAGGGCCGTTGGCAAATCCAACTGCCCTAACTCCCTGTGCCGGCCCCTCTTACTTGGGGTGCCTGATGGGCACTTCCAAGACCAGCTCTGGCGGAATCTGGAAGAGCTCGGGGTCGTTGCCATTGGCCTGGAGCAGGAGCGGCAGGACGTCGAAGCGGCCACGAGGCGGTTTCCAGCCTTGCTGCATGCAGATCTGCAAGCAGACCAACGTCAGGCAACAGGCCACGCCCCGGGAGACCACGCCCTCTGGGAGACCACGCCCTCCGGGAGACCACGCCCTCCGGTAGACCACGCCCACGTGGGGAACCCGCCCTTACCGAGATCACACCTTCCCAGAGTCCACTTGAATCCAGCCCTTGGAAAGAGAACCCCCACCCCCTTCAGTTAATGGAGGAGGGTCCTTGGGCACTTGGTGGTGGGGGTACAGTGACTATACCTCAATACCACAATCTTTTTTTTTTTTTCTTTTTGGGTCACACCCGGTGATGTACAAGGGTTACTCCTGGCTCTGCATTCAGGAATTACTCCTGGCGGTTCTCTGGGGACCATATGGGATTCCGGGTCGGCCGCATGTAAGGCAGGCGCCCACCCGCTGTACTGTCGCGCCACCCCCAATACCACAATTTTTAAGACTACTGTAACCATATTATCTAAGCTGAATAGTAATTGGTAAAAAATAATGAAAAGAATAAAAGCTAAAAAATTCTCCAGGAGTCTTCTTTTAAAAAACATAAACTGGTGAAAATAGAATAAATGATACATTTGTTTTAGTCTATGCAGATTTAAATTTCAATAGTATTTAATGACTCACTTAGTACTAAGTATAGAGAATCAATTATATTAACTTATACGTAGTACACTAGTAGGGTATTAATATCAGTATGTTTTGATAAATTATGACATCGAAGATTTGCAATATATTCATTATTTCCCCTTCATTAGGATTATTGATCAAATGAATCCATTATAGGCCTTTAATTAAATCTGTTAAATACCATCACCTATTCATGAGAACTTATCGAGTAAATTAATATATTTCAAGATACTTAACATAGAGTTAACTGTGTCAACTGATTGAATGTAGCCTTAATAAAAATACAGCTAGGTCAACCTGGTATTAAACACAAAAGTATTACTTTAGTAGGTCACTTCGGTCGTTACTAAGGAAACAAGTTCTGCTCCTCCTTTTGGCCTCAGTTGTGGGACCCTGGGGTGTCCCTTACACTCCTGGCAGGTCTTCTGGTGGGGTCACCCCGTTTCTCATGGCCAGCCCATGTCTGCTGGGTGGGAGGGGCCAGTGTGCTGAGTACTGGGGCTGGGCTGGGGCGCAGGGGTGTGGGGGTGCGGGGGAAGTGAGGGCTTCACTGCACACAGCCGGGGAGGCAGTTGGGGTGGAGGCTGAGGGGTCCACTCTACAGACCCAGGACAAGGTCCCCCAGCGGCCCAAGTGGGGCATCGAGTCTGGCCTGGTGGCAGCCGTGTGGGAGGAGCCGGGCTGAGACGGGCTAGCTGGGGCCAGGGGGCCTGCCCGGGCATCTCCCACATGCAGGGTGCCCACTCCCTTGCCACCTGAGCACGTCACGCCCGGAAGGTGCCCAGGGAGGGGAGAGGGTGGCTTGGAGCTGTGGCCATGGGTTGTGCTAGGATCCTGAAGAGGGGCTGGGGGCAGGGGGGACTGAGTGGTGGGAATGCTGCATGGACGAATGAGTGGGTCAGTGAGAGGAGACTGGTGTGAGACCCAACCCACACAAGGCGGGTGTCAGGCACAGCTGTGAGCCTTGGTGGGACTCAGTCTATCATCTGACAAATGGGATGATGGGTCCTAGCTGGAGGGTGGGAGCAGAAAACTGCCCAGAGCTGGCTGATGCCAGACGGGAGGGAGATGCCAGCACCCCTCCGGCTGCCCTCCTTAGGCCGTCACACGAGCAGGGGGCAGCCACGGGCTGTGGGGGTGCCGTGCGGGCGGGGCGCAGGCACGCACCTCAGTGAGCTCCACACTGGCCGGGTCCCCCAGGATGGAGCTGTCGGGCTGCTTGTAGCCCGCGTAGCGGATGAGCTGGGAGTTCCAGACGCGGAAGTCATGCTTGCCGTCAGTCCTCTGGGGGAAGATGGTGATGGCAGACCTGTGGGCAGTGGGGGTAGGAGTGCCATCAGGGCGGTCCTCCTGGCGGAGGTGTCATGGGAGGCTCAGAGTGAATCAGGCCTGTCTCTCGGGCCGAGAGGATGCACATGCCCGCTGCACTCCTCAGGCGTGGCTCTGAGAGGCAGCAGGGCGGGAGGCTTTTGTCAGCTCTCTGAAGGAAGGAGGAAGTTCTTTTTTTTTTTTTTTTTTTTTGGATCACACCCAGCAATGCACAGGGGTTACTCCTGGCTCTGCGCTCAGGAATCACCCCTGGCCGTGCTCAGGGGACCATATGGGATGCTGGGAATTGAACCCGGGTTGGCCGCATGCAAGGCAAACGCCCTAATGAAGGAAGGAGGAAGTTCTTGAACTGGAAACTTTTTTTAGGGGGGAAGGCACAACCCAGCAGTACTCAGGGATCACTCCCAGCTCTGTGCTCAGGGGTCACTTCTGGGGATGCTCAGGGACCCTCTGGAGTAGCAGGAGCAAACCCAAGTTGGCTGCACCCAGGGAAATGCCTGAACCCCCATGTCTCTCTCTTCTGGTCTCGGTTCTGGCCTGTCGCCCTGTGTGGGCGGCGAAGCCCCCAGCAAAGGCAGGGCAGTGGGTTGCTCTGCAGTGGGGTTTGCAAGCCTCCCACCTGCACCCGCCTCCCAGAGGCGTCTCCCTAGGGACCTTGTGGGGAGCAGCACGTCTGAGGCCAGGCCGAGCACCAGGCCGGTTCATGCCGTTTCTGTCTCCCGCCCGGGACCCCCTCGTAGACTCGGGCTCCTGTCCTGACCCACTCAAGCGGCTCTGAGGTCTATGACGTCTCTCAGTGTTTCTAGACATGGCTCCGGGTGTCCAGAGAAAAGAACTGGCTGAGGCTGGAGCAATAGAACAGCAGGGAGGGCGTCTGCCTTGCATGGAGCTAACCCAGGTTCAATCCCTGGCATCCCATATGATTCCCCGAGCACCGCCAGGAGTGATTCCTGAGTGCAGAACCAGGAGGAACCCCCGGGCACCACTGGCATCACTAGCAAAAAATAAAAAAATAAAGAAAAAGAAAAAGAAAAAAAGAATCGGCTGAATAGTTTCCCTACAAATCTCATGAGGCTGCTCCCTGCCCCCAGTAAAAACCAGGAAAGCACCTGGTGTGTGAGTGTGTGTGCGAGAGAGACAGAGACAGAGACAGAGAGACAGAGCGAGAGAGGGAGAGACAGAGAGACAGAGAGAGAGGTGCATCCCCTCCACCCCATCAGCATCACAGCACCATTATGAACAGCCCCCAGCACCCCAAGCCCTGAGACCTGGAGGGGACCCTCTGCTGGGGTCTGTGACAGGGTCCCCCTATTTGCTGAGGGTGCCGTCTTTGTGGAAAAGTGCCCAGGTCCTGAATTGGTCAGCCCTGCCTGTCACCGTGTGGCCTCTTCCCTCTGAGATGCTGCAGGGTCAGAAGGAAGGAGGCTGACTGTGTGCAGGAAAGCCCGTGGGGGACTAAGGCGCAAGGCCTTGTGGGACTATCCCTGCAGTGGCCCTGCTCCGCCCCAAGGTGGGGCTGGTGGTCAGCAGCTGGGAATAGCCGGGGCCTGGGGCAGGGCGGTGGGGATTTACAAGTGTCTCTGCTACACCCTGGCTGCCGGTCCAGCCATGTCCTTCTGGCCACTGCTTGCTGTTCCCTGGGGCTTGGGTCCCCATGGTGGGATGGGGGGCTGGAGGGACCCCAGGGGAGGCCTGGCTGGCTGGACAGCACCAGAAGGAACAGTTCTGGAGAAGAAGCCGATTGAACCAAGGGGGACAGAGCTAGCTCTGGGCAACAGGCAGGAGCAAAGAAACAACAGGCAACAGGCAAAGCCAGAACTGCCCCCCAGAACCAGTCCCGCCCAGAATCGTCCCCCAGAACCAGCCCCCAGAACCTGGAACAGCCCCTCCGGCCTGTGGGTGCTGGGAGGGGGGCATTCTCCCAGCCGAGGGGGCTGGGCTTGCTGCTGTTCTCCTAAGTGTGCTGCTGTTCTCCTAAGTGCTGTTCCCTCCTCTTTCTGCAAGAGGAGGGCCTCTGGGTGGGGGAGGAGGATGCCGGGGGCCTGGGGGCCCTCCCTGGTGGGTGTGGGTGCTGGGCCCAGCAGCAGTCCCCCGCTCCCCTGGGCCCTGTCGGTGCATCCCCAGCAGGAGCTCACCTGAGGTTCCCTTTGTTGGTGGCGTACTTGATGTGGTTGCAGATGTAGTTGAACATGCCGTGGGCCGTGGTGCAGTCGCGGGCATCGAACACCTGTGAGGGCACATGTGGGTGCTGGTGGCTCCCTTGCCTGCCTGCCCAGACCTGGAGTCCCAGGCGCCAGAGTCTCTTATTGGCGTTTCGAGCCTGACCATCCTGTCTAGCAGTGAGCATGACCCAGGGTCGCAGGGCAGGGGGAGAGGAGGGAAACCCTCAGCCCCTCGTTTTCTCCCAGCTTCCAAATAAGCGAGCACATTCCAAACACAGACTCAGAGCCTGATGGGAAACCTGTTCCGTCTTGGACCCTTCCAGGGGCACCACCTGGCACCTCGGGGTGCCTGACTGTGGGGGCAGACCATCTGCCCTGGGTGTGGAGGTACGGACGGGATGGGGTGGGGGGATCTGCCACATACTGAAGCGGATGACTTCTACTTTGGGGAAGATGCAGCTCTCAGCTGGCCTGGGGTGTGACCCTGAACCAGGGACCCCTGTGAGTATCACCTGACTGGCACTTGGGGGTCCTGGCAGGGGCAGAAGAGCCTGAATTTTATTTGCTCCTAGTGGTGTGGAGGGCCACCAGGCATACCCAGAACTGCTGGTGGGAGGCAGAGTCCAGGGGGCTGGGCTTGGGCCTACATGGCTGAGAATGTCCTCGGTCACTTAAGCCATATCTCTGGCACCAGGGATTGATGCTTTTTTGGGGAGTGACCCCATGGGTGATTTGTGGCTGACTGGGCTGGTGGTTCAATGCAAGGCTGGTTTCAGGGTCTCTGAGGCCACACCCAAAGGTGCTCAGGGGCCTTCCTGGCTGTACTCAGTGATGATCATGGGACGATGTGGCGCCAGAGATGGAACCTGGGTCGGACTGTGGACCCAGTCCCAAGAGCCGACACATTTTTAGGCTTTGGGCCACACCCTGCAGTGCTCAGGGCTTACTCCTGGTTTTGTGCTCAGGGGCCACACCTGTTGGGGCTTGAGGGACGCTCTGGGGTGCATGCAAGGCAAGCGACTTAATTCAGACGATCTCTCCGGCACTGGGGTTGACACTCTTTTTTGTTTTTCTTTTTGGGTCACACCCAGCGATGCACAGGGGTTACTCCTGGCTCTGCACTCAGGAATCCCTCCTGGCGGTGCTCAGGGGACCATATGGAATGTGGGGGATTGAACCCGGGTCGGCTGTGCAAGGCAAATGCCCTACCTGCTGTGCTATTGCTCCAGCCCCTGGAGTTGACATTCTTGAATGCTCCCTGTGCCCTCCCCTGCCAGGGGGTCCCCAGGGCGAGGGGAAGGGGGAGGTGAGGGGGGTCTTCCGGCTCACCTGCAGCTTGGACCACTGGATCCTGCCCACACAGCGGGCCGCGTTCCGCCAGGCATGCTTGGCTCCATAGATGAGCTCCGTGTCCTTCAGCTGGTAGGTGCTGGTTGTGTGGATCTCCTTGTTCACCTCCTCCAGCCGCTCCATGTGGGCCTTGGAGCCAAACCTGAGCCAGAAGGGGGGACACAAGCGAGTCACCTTCTCCGGGGGCTGGGGGGGCAGTGGCGGGAGGCTTGGAGCCGCAGAAGTCCGAGGAGATTTCTGGATGTGAGCACTTAAGCGGAGAGCAGGGACCAGGGGAGCCCACACCCACCAAGGCCCAGGAGGGGAGAGGAGCCCACACCAGCTTGGCAGGGACTGAGGGTCACAGGGGAGGTCACAGGACACAGGTCACAACAGAGGCCCAGGGGACAGGACAGTTCTGCCCCACTGAGGGATGGTCACCTAGGAGAAATAAGGGCCCAGGCTGGCCCTCTCTGCTCTCAGGAGAGACGGAACATCTAGCTTTTATTTTTATTTATATTATTATTATTATTCAGGGCTGGAGCAATAATAGCACAGTGTGTAGGGCATTTGCCTTGCATGCAGCCAACATGGCTGACCCGAGTTCGATTCCTCCGCCCCTCTCGGAGAGCCCGGCAAGCTACCAAGAGTAGCTCGCCCGCACGGCAAAGCCTGGCAAGCTACCCGTGATATTCGTATTCGATATGCCAAACACAGTAACACGTCTCACAATGTAACTGGGCCAGCTCGAGCAAACTGATGAACAACGGGAGGACAGTGACAGTGACATTATTATTATTATTATTATTATTTTGCTTTTTGGGTCACACCCGGTATTGCACAGGGATTACTCCTGGCTCATGCACTCAGGAATTACTCCTGGTGGTGCTCAGGAGACCATATGGGATGCTGGGAATCGAACCCGGGTCTGCTACGTGCAAGGCAAATGCCCTACCTGCTGTGCTATCACTCCAGCCCCACATCTGGCTTTTAAAGAGAACCCTTCCAATTGTGGATGCAATTTTAGGAACTCACAATGGTCCCAGAGGCCTTCAGACTTACAATAGAGGCATCGGGAAGGAGACTGACAAACATCCAAATTTTAGAAGGGACAGGTAGGTAAGAAGCACAGCACCGTGGCTGGGTGCCCGCCTCCTGACCACAGGCTGCTCTGTCCTCGGCTGTGACTGTTACGCTGAGCAGGTCACAGACCAACTCCCGCTGTCCTGGGGGCAGGCATGTGTCTTCTAAGTCCCGCACAGTTGCATTCTGCATGTCTGGAACACTGTCCCGACAGCAGCCTGCGCTGTCCTTTACTCCTTTGCTTTGTAAAAACAGGGGCCAGACCTGGCAGAGCTTGGGAGTTAGAAGGACCACAGCTGGAGGTGTTGGGGGGTGGCACTGGGAGGGGACAGGGAGTGGGCATGTGGTCCAGGCGACAGCTCAGAGCCGGGCACACACCAGCATGTGCCCCTGGCTTCTCATTTCCTTCTGCTGCTCGAAATTATTCTCAAGCAAATTACTCGGAAGCTTTCTTCCCCCAAGCCTGCAGAAAAGGCCCCTGGTCATTCCAGGGGAGTTTCCAGGTGGGTCAGTTTTGCTCTCCCCGCTCTTAAAGCGGGTTTCTGTTACCTTTGCTCTGCCCGGGGCCAGGTGGAGGGGAGGAGCTGAAACGTTTCCAAAACAAGCGACATTTCCCCCTTTGCTTCCTCGGCTGTGTTTGGTTGGTGGTGCTCAGGGCGCACTCCTGGTTCATGATCAAGGATCACACCTGGCGGACTTGGGGGACCCCCGGGAGGTGCCCAGGATCAAACCAGGGTGGGCCGCGTGGAAGGCAAGTGCCGAGCCGCTGGCTGACCTCTCTGGCTCTTAAGTGAGCTATTTTCAGGCCAAATAAATATGTTCTTTGGGAGCTGGGTTTGATCATTAAGGCTAATCCTAGCACTGCTCAGGGGACCATAGGGGGGGCTGGGGGCTGGACCAGGTCAGTCACGTGCAAGGCAAGCGCCCCCGTCCCCCCTCTACCCTCCCCATCCCCCCGCCCCATAATATCCTCTCTGGCCTTTAAGTGACGTTCTTGGAGCCCAAAGAAGAAACATTCTGGGGCGCCGGGTTTGGTGCTCGAGCCACCAGCTTCTGGGGGCCATGAGGGGAGAGACGTCAGGCTCGGGTCTGGCTTCAACCCTCTGCTAGGCCGGAAGCAAAAGTTCTGGGCAACATGCACTTGCCTCTTTTTTTTTTTCTTTTTGGGTCACACAGGGGTGACTCCTGGCTCTGCACTCAGGAATTACTCCTGGCGGTGCTCAGGGGACCCTATGGGATGTGGGGCATCGAACCCGGGTTGGCCGCGCACAAGGCAAACGCCCTACCCGCTGTGCTATCGCTCTAGTCCTATGCACTTGCCTCTTAATGGACGAGTAGTACTGGTCGATGAACTCCTTGGCCAGGGGGAAGAGCTGTGCTTTGGTGCGGACGTCCTCGGGCCTGCGGACTTGCTGGGACGGGAGCATGACGGAGCCCATGCAGATGTGCTCGCTGCAGCCCGTCTCCTGCAGGGACGAGAGCGGGACACCCCCTGCTGGGACCCTGCAGTCCTGCAACTGGGGCTCCCAGAGGGGCCTCCTCCAGTCCCGGCCTCTGACCACTGCAGGCTGCGGCCAGGGACCACAGGGGCCATGTGACAGGGACTCCCTGGGACCTGGAGGCACGGGGGCTGAACCCACAGCTGGGTCTGCATTGACTCGGAAAAGAGGGAGCCAGGAAAGTGGCTCAGGGGGGATTCTCTGGGGGACATCGGGGGGACGCACATGCAGAATTGGCCTGACGTCCTGGCTGCAAGGCGTCTGTCTCCACAGCAGTCCCCAGCAAGCCTAAGGCCACGCTAGCTCGCCAGACGGGGAGACCATGGGAACAGTGTTCGGCGACCCCAGCTGGGGCCATCCGAGTCCAGCCTGCCTCAAGCTGGCCTGTCGGAGGGCTGTGGGTGCCTGCAGGAGGCCACCCAGCTCAACGGTGGACGCCGCAGGAGTAAGGGGTGTGGAGCATGGCACTGGGTCTTGGAGAAGACGAGACCCAACCTTGCAAAGAGGCTCAGAAGCGAGACCCCGCGGGAGGGAGTATCTGGGCAGAGTTGGCAAGAACAGGGGGTCAGCACCAGGTGTTTGACCTTGAGCCTCACTTGACCTCCTAGTCACATGCACCCACGACACAGAAACTGTCATGTATGCTCAGCAAATCACCCTAAGGCAGCATCTAGCCTTGAATGGGATGGGACTGGGGCAGAGCAGAGTAGGCGGTAAGCCAATAATGCTGAACTTTATGTGTTTGGACCTTCCTGTATGCCGAGACACTCTGTAAATTATGTGTGTATTTGGCAATAAAGTGAACAGCCATCGGCTGCTCCCCAGAGGGTGTTTCTCTGCGTGCCCGTCATCCTTCGCCCCACAGCTGCCTGGGCTGGTGCTCCACGTGTCTGGGCACCTCGGGGAAAAACTTCCCCAACAAGTGGGGGGCAGAGTTGGGCCAGGAAGTTGGGGGTTGCTCATCTCACTGCAGAGGCCGTGGGGACCCAGAGTCCCCGGGAGCCCATCTGCGCAAACGGGTCATGCCACGGGCAGCCTGGTGGGGCTGTACCAGCCAGGAAGGCCCTGCCTGGTTCTCCCGCAGAGAGAGACAACCCAGACTGTGAGGGACCGACCCAGAAGCAGCCGCTCCACTAGGTTCTAGGGTTCAAGAAGCACGAATTCCAAGTGTCGGTGTGAGTGCTCAGGACCCTCCCTGGCCACCTGTGGCTCCGATCGTCTGCCTTGAGACTGTGGGGGGGCACTGGGGGCTGCGGGACGCTGGCATATGCCTGGTGGGGACTCACCACTGTACTTTTCAGGTGCAGGGTGTCGGTGAGGACCACGTCCGTCTCCCAGTTCTTGACCTTGAGGAAGCGGGGGCACTTGGTGGGGCTGCCATTCTTGGTGGGGGACTGTTTCCCCGACGCGGGGGGCTGCAGAGGAGGAGGAGGGAGAGGGGGCATTAGGGGCGACCCCGGAAAACGGTCCCCACCAGCTGGGGAGATGCATCGCTCCCTTCCCGCATGCCCATTGCCAGCTGGCTACACAGAGAAGGGTCCCGGGGTCCGGGTAGACCTAGAAAGGCGTTCCCTCTATCCCCCTGACATGTGGGAGGAGGAGCTGGGCGAGAGCCTTTGGGGTTCTGCTCGGGCTGGGTCTGAGGCCCCACGTGTGCCTTCTGGAGGGGGACAGGACTGGGAGGAGGTGGCAGGCGGTGGGGGTCTGTGCGAGGGTCTGCCATGGTCCTGGACTGGACAGGGATGCGCTGGGCTTCCTGATCCTCTCCGAGGCTCTGTCTTTGCTTTGCTTTGGGGATCCACAGAGGCCCCATGGACATGGAAACGTAAAATGGGCTCAGAGTCCAAGGGGAAGTGGAGGGGTGGGATCCCACGGCCAAGAGCTCCCGCGTGCCCTGAGACCCTCCTCCTGGCCCCCTCCCCCCCACTCTGTCTCCTGGGGGCGCTTCAGGGGTCCCTCCTCTCACCCCACAGTTGTAACAGCTCTTGGCAACAGTGGGTGGGGGTGGGGTGCCCCCCACACTGGTGCCCAGTGGGCAGCCTCACATTACATCTAACTCGTTGGATGAAAAAAGTCAGACAAAGACAAGTTCGTGATCCCCTGCAAGTCACGTGGAGTGCCAATGTCAGGGTCCGCGAATAAAGTTTTATTGGAACCCGGCCCAGTCCTTGTGTCTGTGCCCTCTGGCTGCAGTGGAGCTGGGGAGGGGTGATGGAGACCAGGGCTGGAGGGGCCGCAAAACCCAAAGGATTTCCCTCTCTTGTCCTTTACAGGAAGAGTGGGCAGACTCCCGATGCAGTGGATACAGCCACGGTGGTTAAATTCTGAGTTATTTCACTCCTGACTCCTTCTGCCTGAATGCCGCAGAGTGAGAGCTCTTTCCAGATCATTCTTTTATTTCGTTTTGGTTTTTGCTTTTTGGGTCAGACCTGGCAATGCTCCGCGGTTACTCCTGGCTCATGCACTTAGGAATTACTCCTGGCAGTGCTGGGGGACCCTATGGGATGCTGGGAATTGAACCCAGGTCGGCCACGTGCAAGGCAAATGCCCTGCCCGCTGCACTATCGCTTGGGCCCTCCAGATCATTCCTGAGCACAGCATCCCACCTCATGCTTGTCTGCAAGTACTGGCACAGGAGAGTCTTCGTATCTCTATGTTACAATGTTAATCTGTATGTCACAATGGGGGAGTTTCCCGTCTCCCCACCACTCTCTCTGCCCCTGACAGTCCTGCGAGTTCTGCTCAGGGCTGAACCATGTCCCTCCTGAACTTCTCTCTCAAATCCGCCCTTCTGATAGGACCGTTTGGAGATGGGGGCTGCCGAGGTCTCCAAGGCTGGGGTGCTTGCCTGGCAGATCTGGGGGCCTTATCCAAGGGGTGGTGTCTCTCTGCACTTCAGGGAGGAGAAGCTGGGAGGAAGGACACAGCAAGAAGGCGGCCGTGCCTGAGCCAGGCAGACCTTGCCCGGACCCTGTCCTGCGGGACCCCCAGTCCTGACTCCTCTGAACGGGAGGTGGGGCGCTGGGACTCAGGCCCTGGAGCATGGGGGTCTCTGTCCTTTCGGCTGTTTCTCAGAGGAAGCTCTGATCTCAGAGCTGACACAGCCTCATGGGGAACGGGGCAGAATCTTTCCTACGTGTCAGGGACTGGGGGCTCATGGCTGTGATGGCTAGTCAGGGTGTGTGTGGGACAACAGGGAGTGGTGGGGACTGGGGGAAAATCCCTGGGAGCCCCATGGGCTGAAGCTCAGGCTCTGATGATGGAGGCCCAGGTTTGATCCCCGGGTGCCCCCGGTCCTACTAGGAGTGCCCCCTGAGCACTGTAGGGGGTGGCCCTGTGGCCAGAAACACACAGAGAACCCTGCAGTGCCCAAGTTCTGTGTCCAGTGCAGAGTACCCACACTGTTGATTGACCACTGCAGGACAGTCCACATTTGAAGGCGAAGCTGCCCACGGCAGGCTGGGAGTCTTTGGTGCTGCAAGCACATCACGGGTCCTGCACACAGTGACTGGAACCATCTGCATCACGGTGGGGATCACTGCCTCACCCAAAGAGACTAACCAGCCATCGGCTGTGCCACATGCCTGTTGGATGACTACCGAGTGACAGTCCCCGACTGCTCAGGGTGGCCCCACTGTGGGGACAGAGTCCAAGACATCTACAAAGGGGCTTGTCCTCCAGACATGCCTAGTGTACCTGCCAGTGGATAACCTGGTGTATGTGTGTGTGAGGGGGGGGGCGGGGAGGCTTAAGGGCCTGAGTGTGGAGTCCTCTGCCCCCTCTCCCAGGCCCCCTGGGCACTCAGGAAAGTGCCCCCTGGACACGTCCCCCTCTTGGGAAGCTCTGCGTCACGGCTTGGACTGGCTGCTTCAAGAAGGCTGGGCAGGGGCTGAGCAGCAGGAATGCGACGGGGATCTGCCAAGTGGCCAGGGCACCTCTCCTTTCTGCCACCCGCTGACAGCCACCCCATCACTCAGGGCGTGCAGAGCTCGGGAAGGACATTCACACGTTTCCCGAGGGTGGTTTCCACCTTGTCCGTTAGCTGTCTGGGGAGGTGAGGAAAAGGTGCCACCAAGCTCCTGCCTGACGGAACCACCCTTGGGATGCCAGGCTGGCCCGGCCCCAAGCACCCCTCGGTGGCCAGCAAAGACTAGTCGGTTTGGGCGCAGCCCGAGTTGCTGGGGCGGTAGCAACCAGACACAGTCCCTCACTCTCATTTGACAACTTCTGCCCCATCACGCACACCCGTGACCTCTGACCCCACATCCCGTGGGCCAGAGATGTTCTCCACAGGGTCATTGGCGATAGCGGTGTCCCGGCCAAACCCAGGCAGCAGCCCGACTTTCTGCTATGGAGGAGCAGCTCATGCAGACAGGCCAGAGCCACGTGGCAGAGACACGACGGGGCCGAGGACAGGAAGCTGCCCCTCCCCTCCCTGCCACGGCTCCATAGATGCGAGAAAGTGACAAGAAACAGGAGAGAGGGGGCAGCACATTCTCTGAGCGAAGATCCGCACACTCAGGGTTGTGCCCCGTCCACCTCTGCATGGGCCCTGTGGCCGTCCAGGGCCAGAAACCACTGACCTTGCAACGGCCAAGGCCACTTGTTAGTCATCCAACCGGGGAAGGAGACGAGGCTGGGGCAGGATGCTGTCTCAGGGCCCAGCCCCCGCCCGGTGCTCCCCCTGAGGCAGGACCCAGCCCGGAGAGGCGGGGGGGGGGGGGGGGGAGGGTGCCGGTCTGATGCCCCTTACCTGCTCCTTCTCCGAGTACGGGTTGTTGAGGACCACGGGCGCGCTGTCCTTGCCCCAGAGGTCGTTGAAGACGCGGTCGTTGTTCACGCTCAGGGGCAGGGGCCTACGGGCCTTGGTGTCCAGATCCCTGTGAGGCAAGTTGGGGCAGGTGAGGCCAGGGTGGCACTGGGGCACCAGTCGGAGGCCCTGGTGGGGATGTGCCCACAGCCCAGACCATCCACCCCATACCCAGACCGTGACTGGGCGCTCTGGGCACCCGGCCCTTGGCTCCGTGGGTCCACTGGGGACAGGCGGGCAGCCAGGACCATTGTAGGCACGAGGCTGAGCTCAGCGGGGGGCGCCAAGGGCTGGCATACACCCATCCACATGCGCACAGGAGCATGGGGGTCTCTGCCACCTGTGGCAGGAGGGCTGTGGCCCCTTCTCACCCCCCCCCCCCACTTAAATACATAGACGGGGCCATGGGAGCCGCCTCCTGGGGGAACCCCCCCAAAAAAACTTAGCGCCCAGCAGACCACATGAGTGCAGGCGAGGTGGGCAGGGGCACGTTCTCCGGGCCAGGGTGGACTCAGGCCTTGACCCTGAGCCTAGTTGGGTGCCCTGGGACCACCGGGAGGGCTCCAAGTGTGTGTGTGTGGCGGGGGATGCTGCAATGAGCAGCTCCACGCTCCGGGGATGGCGCCTGGCACGTGCCCGCACTCTCACTCCCCACACAAACGCCCACGGCCGTTTCACAGAGGGCACAAGGGGGCAGAGGTTCACCCCAGGTCACACACGTGTGGAGGCTCTCACATCATCACTCCAGAGGGCAACAGCCCCACCGGCCGTGTCAATCTCCAGACCTTGGCCCCCACCACTGCCACCTCACCTCCCTGCCCCATGCTCCCAGGGAGTGCTCCTCCCTCATGCTACATTGCTCTGTGCTCCCGGGGAGTGCTCCTCCCTCAGGCTACACTTCTCCATGCTCCGAGGAATGCTCCACCCTCATGCTACACTGCCTTGTGCTCCCGGGGTGGTGCTCTCCCACCCCAGGTGCTCCGTCTGGTGCCTCTTTCCTGGTTCCCCGCTCCCTGTCTAGCCCACCCTGGCATGTCTGGGCAGACTCTCTCACTGTCGCCTGTTGGCAGAGGGGACTGATTGACCAGCCTTGCCAGGAGCCTCTGTGTCCTCACCCTCTGGAGGGACTGTCCTCGGTGCCCTGGGCACTCTCCTGCTTCAGTTCTGTCAGCACCGCCCAGGCCTGGGCTGGAGTGTGCGGGGGGGTGGGGGGGAGGGCGGAAGGACTCTCTGAGTCTGCACCATGCCCTGCAGCCCGCATGCTCGACCAACAGCTTTGAGGACACTGCTGCGGGCAGGGAGGACCAGCCGCCTCCGTCAGGGCTCTGCCATCCTCCCCTTGCCGGCTCTCCCTGCCTCCCTCTGCCCTCTCCACAGACGCTTGCCCGCGTGTGCTGGCAGGAGCGAAGCCCTTTTCTTCCCGCCACAGGCCGAGCAAGGAGAGTGGCCAAATGGGCCGGCGTCTCCAGACCTGCAGACAGCCTGGCCAGGGCCTGCCAAGGGAGGCGTCCCGGGGGCGGGGGCCCAGATACCCCTGGGGGTGCGCAGGGCCCAGGTCTGACCCCACGAGAGGCCCGGTGCTGACCACTGACCAATGGTCCGGGCCTGTGGAGGGCAGAGCCCACCGTTGCAGGCAGCATTGCCCTCGCAGGCTGTCTTTCCACAGACGCTGCCCCGCTCCCCGGCCTCCCCGCCCCCGCCTTGGCTTTCTGCCTCCTCCTTGTCTGTCGTGGAGGCCCAGAGCTGAGGGATGCAGTTCGGAGGCTGTGGACATGGCGCTGGGGGCTCGGGCCTCCCCCAGGATGCAGGAGGGGCTCCAAGCTCAGGAACCCCCGTGACTGGTGGCACCAAAGTCGGGGATGTGGCCAGGCCCACTGCATGCAGGGTCCAGGTAAGGGAGGGGCTGAGTTTGGACGCGGGCGGCTGGGAGAGTCCAGGCCACCCCCTGCCTGGCCGCCAGCTGCCCACCGTCTTGACACGCCAGTGGAAATGCCCAGCGAGGCCGAGGGGCTTCCCTAGCAGACACAGTGGGCAGCGTCGCAGGCCTGAACGGCGAGAGCTCAGGAGCGTGCCCACCCTACTAGGGGTGCGCACAGCAGCCCCCCTACCCTGCCTCCCAATGCCAGCAGGCCCTGGGGACCCGTTCCCAGAGCCAGGGAGAGAGACAGGTGGGCGGCAGTGCTGCTCAGAGACCCCAGTGCAGAGCTGGGTGGCGGGGCCGCACCCAGTGATAGATGGGGCCTGGGGGACCCTCCGGGTGGTCACGGGGGTCTGAAAGAGCCTTTCCCAGATGCCACTTCAGGGCCTCAGTTTCCCACCAGGACCGAGAACAAACCTTGATGGCCTCCGACCATCAAGTCGGAGTCCCTGGGTAGGGGCGGGACACTGGGAGGGGGGGCGGCCACGCGGTAGGGGAGGGCAGGCTGGGGACAGGGGCATGTGTCTACGTGGTGGGGGACAGGCCGGCCGGGAACGGGGGCAGGGTGGCCAGGAGGTGGGGGAGGGGAGGCCGGGGACAGGGCCAGTCCTGCTCTGCCACTGGGGTCTCCAGGCAGAGCCGCAGAAGGTAGCACAGCTGGATGCTGAGTCCCTCCCTCCACCCAGGCTCGGGGCCCAGGACCTCCAGAGACTCTCGTGTGCTGGCGAGGTCTGGGAGGAGCTGAGCAGCGCCCTGTGGTGGCCTGTGCTGTGTGACGTGGAGGCAGCGGCTTGATCTCTCTGGGCCCCGGGCCCTCCTCTCCTGAAGGACGTGCACGTAGGCACGTGCCCTACTTAGGGAGCCGGGGTCGCGCCCGAAGGGAACCTGCTGGTGTCAGGCGGACCGGCCGCTCCAGATGGACACTGGCCCGGGCAGCTTGGCCTCCTTAGACGCCTCCGTCAGGGCAGCGAGCCCAGCAGCCCGTCTCCGGCGACTCGCACATTAAAGCGACCGCTCCTGAGAACAGGGTGCAGGGCAAACACCCCCTCTCCCCACAAGCAGGGGACCCCAAAGAGCCGGAGTGTACGCACTCACACACACTAACACACACTCTCTCTCACACACACACTCACACACACTCTCACACTAACACACGCTCACACACTAACACATACGCTCACATACTCACACGACCACACTCACACGAACACCCGCCACACACTCATACGCTCACACTCACACACTCGCACACACTAGCACACTCACTAACAAGCACACTCACACACACTCACACAGCAACACACTCACACGCTCTCATGTTCACACCTATATTTGCAGATGCACACCCAGACTCACAGACTCACCCATATTCACATTAACACACCAACACCTACACTTGCACTCACGCATACACTAACACACACACTCTCTCTCTCAAACACACATAACACTCTCTCACACTAACACATCCCCCACACTAGCACACTCACACACTAACATACGCTCACACTTACACTAACACTCACACACTACCACATTCACCCTAACACATGCCACGCACGCATATACTCTCACACACACTCACACACACTAGCACACTCACAAACATGCACACTCACACACAGCAACACACTAACACTAACACCTACGCTCACACACTCTCATGTTCTCACATATATTCGCAGACGCACACCCAGAGTCAGACTCACACACATTCACACATTCACTCTAACACACCAACACCTACACTTGCACTCACCACGCATACACTAACACACACAAACACACTTTCACACACACTAACACACTTTCACACAAACATACACTTGTGCACACACATACACACATGCACATGCGCACTCACACTCCTGGTGCTCACCTGTCCACCTGGACTTCTGCGTCCCTGGTCCCTGCTGCGGCTGGTGGCCCCTTGTGGGCATCCGTGCTGCTGAGTAGGCTCAGTACGGGCAGGATCTCCGTCAGCAGATCGTTGTCCTCCCCGCCGCTCTGGACGCCCACCCCAGCCCCGGCCTGGGCAGGGTCCTGGCCCGGGGGCCTGGGGGCCAGACCGTTGGTGTGGGACAGGGTGCCGGCCTCCTGGCCATTGTCGAGGGCGGGCGGGGGCCTGTGGCCAGGCCCCTCGGCCCCATCGCCGGCCAGGGGCTGCTCTGTGCCAGCCGAGGGCTGCGAGGACAGATCAACGGCCGCCGTGGGGGCCGGGCCCAGGGGCCGGGTCACCCGGATGGTCTTGGGGGTCCCGTCGCCAGTGAAAGTGGTCTCCAGGTGCGTGGTGAAGCCCTCGGGGCCCCGCAGGATGAGGACCACGTGGGTCTCGGAGGCGATGCCCCTGAGCACCTCCAGGGCGCTGTCGTAGCTCAGGTCCACCAGCGGCTGCCCGTTGGCCGCCAGGATGATGTCCCCGGCCTGGATGAGGCCGCTCTGCTCGGCCGCGCCCCCACGGATCAGGTCTGAGATGATCACGGGTGGCTTGTTCACGCGCTCCTTCACCAGGAAGCCCAGGCCGCCCACCCTGCGCTTGAAGAGGCGGACGGAAATGACATTGGGCTGGATCTGCTGGACGCTGAGGGTGTGGTTCTCCATGGCGCCCCGGGGCCCAGGGCCTCCCTCGCGCTCCGCGGCTTTGGGCTGAGACGGGAGGGCAGGAGTCTCGGAGCCGAGTCTCGCTGACGTCCGCGCGCCGACGTCACCCGCTCATGACGTCCCGTGTCCGCCTCGCCCTGGCTCTCCAAGCAGGCGCGGCTGGCTGGGGCAGACGTCAGGAGAGGTTGGGCTGTGTCCACAAGTGCCAGGCCAGGGGAGGCCACGGGGAGGGGAAGAAGCGTCCGTGGAGGTGGGGGTGTGTCTAGCTGGGTCCAGGCTGGGGCATGTTAGAGGTGGACGCCAGCCCGGGTGATGTGGGTCCAAGCCGAGGCTTCCAAACCTGCACAGGGGAACAGGGAGGGAGGGAGAGAATTTCAAAGGGGTGAAAACAGAGGGTGCCCAGCACGGCCAAGAGGGGGACAGGAAACGCCGCTCGCTCTCACACTAGGGCTGGAGGCCAGCCCTGGCAGGAAATGTCCCTCCTGAAGGCCCTTCCCAGGGGCTGTGAAGCCTCAATGTGTGTCCACCCTGATGGCCCTCCCGGGCCTTTTTCCTGGGGGAGACCCGGAAATCACATGCAAGAATCAGAAGTCTCTGCTCCCCTGCCTCCCGGAAGGCCTGAGCCCCCCACCTGCACCAGAGTCCCGGAGAAGAGCAGGAGGGAGAATTCGAATTCAGATCAGCAGCCCACCCTTGCGCATGGGAGTGACACCCTGTTCTGTGGAGCTGCCACCAGTGACGGGAGCCCAAGTTGCTTTGGGAGATGATCTTGCTAAGGACTCCCGTGTTCCAGGCCTCATGGGACCAGCTGGGCCCCGACACACAACCCAGCCTGCTGGAATGTGGGTCCAGCGTGTGAAGGCCTTGAGGCTGCCAAGCACAGAAACCTGGATGGAGAAAGGTCAAGGAGAGGGGTCCTGAGCCCCCAGGCTGAGCTTAAGCACGAAGCAGGGGCTCAGCAAGCATCAGAGAACGGAGAAGAAACCTCCCCGGGATGGAACACAGTTACCCGGCCTGAGTGTGTAAATTGGAACAGGCCACGTTTCTTCTTTGCGCCACAGAGCGGCCTTCCAGAGAGAAGCCCAGGCAGCTGGCGGGGGGGGGGGGGGAGGCGGCTGGGGGCTCAACAGAGCCACTATTTTCTTTTGTTTTCGTTTTGGGGCCACCTCTGGCAGTCTATTCCTGGCTGTGCACTCAGGAATCACTCTTGGTGGGCTCAGGGGACCACCGAGGGTGCCGAGGGTCCGACCTGGGTCGGCTGCAAGCAAGCAAGTGCCCTGCTTGCTGGGCTATCGCTCAGGCCCCCGGGCTGCCCTTTTTTGTTTTGTTTTTTTCTTTTTGGGTCACACCCGGCAATGCACAGGGGTTCCTCCTGGCTCTGCACTCAGGAATTCCTCCTGGCGGTGCTTGGGGGACCATATGGGGTGCTGGGAATCGAACCTGGGTCGGCCGCGTGCAAGGCAAACGCCCTCCCCGCTGTGCTATCGCTCCAGCCCCCCCCCCCCCCCCCCCGCGCTGCCCTTTTGAAGCACCCGTTGGCGGACTGGAAGTGCGGACTGGCAGAGTCTTCCCACGGTGGGAGAAAACGGTCACAGCCACATCACGCCCGAGTCGTCACGGCCACATGTGGATCCCACGGCTTCTGCGTCTGCCTCAGCTGAAGCCGAAAGAGTTTCGGAGAAGAGTGGGAGGGAGGATTCGAACTCAGATCAGCGCCACTCCTGAGCCAGAGTGTCTTGAGGCACCTGCTCACAGTCACACGTGGAACTTTTGCCACGTCCACCCCACTGCTTAGGGGTAAGGGGGGCGCTGGGGTTGCACAATGCCAGCCAAGACCCAGCTCCATGAGGGTCGTGCTGGCCCTGAGGCCCATGTCTGGGTGGGGGCAGGCGGCCTGGGTCAGGGGGCGGGGGGGCTAGCGGACCCGGGAACGGTGCAGGGCCGGGTGCGCTCCTGAGCCCTCGCCGTTCAGGCCTGCAGCGCTGCCTGCCGTGTGTGCTAGGGAAGCCCCCAACTCTAGCCCTGCCCCGCCCCGGCCCCCCGACCCTCTGGTCTGTCAGCCTCTCCGGGACGAGCGGGGAGCCCCCATCTGCCACTACTAACGAAGCGACACTCCCTCCCTCATTTCCTTCCAGCGCCTTCCTGGGGTCACCCCAGGGCTGACGCAGCTGTCAAGCTCCTCGTGCTGCGAAGAGCAGAAGGTGGGTGCACACACTCCCCGCCCCCCGCCCCCCACCCCCCGAAGAGGAGGGGCCGCTGCCCTGATCCGGATTCCCTCCGGGGGGCTGGGGAGCTGCTTCCTGCCCCCCCTGCTGCCTTACGTAAGTGCACCAGCCCCTGTGTGTGGGTGCGGGAATAAAGGATCTCGGGCCGGCCGGGGCTGCCTCCTCCATCTGGAGCGCGAGCGCGCGCGTGTGTGCATGTGCGTGTGCGTGTGTGTGTGTGTGTGTGTGTGTGTGTGTGTGTGTTTCTCTGTGTCCGTGAGCCACCCTCTTGCCCAGCCGTGGCTCTGCTATGTGGGAGTGTGTGTGGCCTGAATGGTCCAGGGATCTCAGAGCATTTTGGTGCTGGGGGCTTGCGGGGGACGCTCCTCAGAGCCTGTGTCCCTCCTCTCGGGACAGTCCCTCCACCTCTCCCTGCCGCCCCCCACCCCAACATACTTTCTGCCCTCTCCCCGAGCCCCATTTCTCGTGGGGACCAAATGAAGGCTGTACATGCTGCAGGTCCAGCCGAGAATAGGCAGCTCTGTCCAGGGCTCGGTTCTCTAAAGGACAGGCAGGGAGGGGAGGCCCCGAGGAGGGAAGGGCCTGTCTGGGCTCCCTTCCACACGACCCTCAGCGCCCAAGGCAGGAGTTGGGACTTGGCTTAAGAAAGAAGCATCAAGGGGCCGGAAAAATAGTGCAGGGGTTAAGGTGCGTGCCCTGTACACGGCTGAGCCCGGTTTGGTCCGAAGCATTGCCTGTGATCCTCCGAGCACAGAGCTAGCAGTGAGCCCTGAGCACTACTGAGCGTGACCCCATCACCACCACTACATGTGAATAAGAAGCAAGAAAAAGCAGCCACGTCGTGCACGGTCCCGTCTGCACTCTGACCTCTTTCCGTCGCTCAGGGAGTCGGGGCCGGCTGATGGGAGGGGTGCAGGGGAGGGCGGGTGTTTTGCAGCGTTGGGCTCTTGGAAAGAAAGGGGACCTACGGCACGAACTGGGCAGAGGTGAAGCTATTCCGAGTAAGTAAAGTGGGACGGGTGTTCCCTGTGGTCAGCCGGGACAAGAGCCGCTGCCCCTCAGAGCATCTCCTCTGCTCCCCTTGCGCCATCCCTGCCCTGGCCAGTATTGGAGGTGGGGGATGTCCCTGTTTCACATCCCCGTTTCGGGGCTGCTGGCCGAGACCCAACCCTCAGCCCTGTCAGCAAGTGTCTGTGTGTCTGGACACCTCTCTGGCTCCTCCAGCCCCCTGAAGCCCGCACTGGACTCCAGATGTCCTTCCTAGCTGGCACTGCCCATTTCTGGGTGGGGTCTGTCTGTCCTGTGCCCATTCCCTTCTCTGCTAAAGGACCTCAGTCCGGAACCACACGCCTGCCCGGGACCGCAGGGTGCTGGGCAGCGGCGTGGCCAGAGGCCCAGGACACAAGGCTTCCTGCCTTTGTTCCAGAACAGCTAATCGCCGTGGCTTCCTGCCTTTCACTCGGCTCCAAGGTACCGCAGGGCCACCTGGGAGGGGGCTCTCTGCTCAAAACCTGCCGCGGGCTTGGCACGGGCTCGGTGGGGTGGTGAGGTGGGTGCTGGGAGCGCATCCCACCACCCCATCTTCGGGCTGTGTCTCCCACCGCGCTTGCACAGGGCACGCGGGGCGCAAACCATGGCAACGCGCTTGGATCCGGGCCTGGATGCAGTGGCTGGGCCGTTGCGGGGGGTGCTGTGCCATTCACCTGGCCGTGGGATCAGCGGGGAGCTCGTGGGGCAGGAGTGCCAGGGGGAAGGCGGGCACCGAACTAGGCCAGCATCTGCTGCGCCCGTGACCTTGGCCCTGGCTCTGCCCCCCACGCGCTGCTGGCATTGGCAGCGTGGGCCGGCCCAGGGTTTGCTGCCGAGCCTGCGCCGTGGCATGTCAGGGTCCCGACAGCAGCTGTCCCCGCTCCCGGGGGCGGGAGAGTGCCCGGAGCACGCAGCCCTAGCACCCACGCCAACCTCAGCCCTGGCAGTGAACTCCCCACTGATGGGGCCTCCTCCTCCCCTCCAGATCACCTGCCCACTCTCCGTTCCACGCTCACACCCACAGAGGCCACGCTGGGTAGGCCCCGTTTTGCAGCAGGCAAGTCCTGTGGCCGCTTGTCCTGGCTTGTGCCTGTTCACTTCAGGGTGAAGTATAGGGGTGACTTGAGTCCACCCCTTGAACCCTGGCCCTTCTTAGCTTTTTTTTTTTTTGGTCACATCCAGTGATGCTCAGGGGTTACTCCTGGCTCTGCACTCAGGAATTACTCCTGGCAGTGCATGGGAGATCATACGGGATGCCGGGGATTGAACTCAGGTTGGCCGTGTGCAAGGCAAACACCTTACCCACTATACTATTGCTCTGGCCCCAACCCCATCCCTTCTAAACGCAGGAACTGGAGTCCCAGAGAAAGGTTCCACGAACAGAGGCAGTAAATGCTGTGGGAGGTACCCAGAGGCCAGCCTTGAGCCACGTGTAGCCTCTGAGCTGTGGAAATCAATGGATTCCACGGATCTGTAACACAGCAGGAGATGCACACTGGGTCTCTGGGACTGGAAGGAAAAAATCTAAACACAAACAAACAGAGCAAGAATTTTCCGACACCGACTTCTCATTGAAATTCCCCTGTTTTCGACACACAGGGTTAAGCAAGATTGTCACAGGAGTGACTTGATTCCTTTTTGCTCTTTTTAATGAGAAGGCTGTACAATTCACACACACGCGCGCGCGCACGTGCACGCTTGAGATTCACATGTTCTCCTGGCAGCTCAGGCCTGGGGTCTGCCCCTGCCCCCCAGCCCC